AACGTCACGTGTCAGTTCTTATAAAGTGATAGGAATTTCAGTGGTTAAATTAGAGTTGATATAATCAGTGAACTACATTCCACCTGATTAATTGATTAATTTCATTGATTAGAGTACTTAATTTAGAAATGGCTTGGTTGCCACGGCAACGGCTGGAGGTACGTAGTCAGTGTAAACTGGTTATGGCTCTGTACTCATTGCATCTTGCCCTCCTCTTGCCTCTTTCACTTCCATTTCCACTTCCAACTCTCGCGATCCTGGTTAACGATAGAGACGGAAGCTCAAATAAATCGCTCTCTGCCGCCGGATGCTCACCACAGAGTGAACTTCACCCAAGAATAATGAGGATTTCATTCCTTGAGTTACACGCTCGCAGGGGCATTTCAGTATCATAAATATCATTTCGTGAATAAAAAAATAATTAAATCGGGACTTTTTATCTATCGCATTTTTCACGGGTTTAGCCTCCTTCGGTTATGCGGACAAATTTATTACGTCTGACGGTGTTTTTCATTCATAAATGTGCACCGAGTTTTATTAATGGAGATTACGGTGGGAAATTTTATAATTTTACAGACCATTTCCCTTTGATTCGGATCATATTCGTATGTCTTTTGAAAAAAAAAGAAATGGAAATATATGTATTAATTATTATATAAGAAAAAAATAGGAAAAAACGATATTATTTATCACAGATAAAAAATTTATCGAGTGTTCTTCATTGAAATTGAACCCGGGTAAAAAAATTGTAATCGAAATATTTTTTCCAAATTTTCAAAAAATTTCTGGAAAACTTTTCAGAAATTTTTTTGATGAAACAAAAAAAATTGGACAGCAACATAATTTTTTTTTTGGAAAAGGTTGGAAAAGGTCGAAAAAAAATTTCTAAAAAGTTTTCCAGAAATTTTTTGAAAATTTGGAAAAAATATTCCGATTACAATTTTTTTTTACCCGGGAATTCAGACTGAATTAATTGAAAATGGATGAATTTGTGACTGAAATTTAAATAAATTCGTAACGCTGTGATGAGGGCGTGTTTAATCGATCGAAAAGAAAACAAATATGAAAATTGAAAGACGATGACGTGAAAATGGATCTGCAACGATGGGCTATTGGACAGTAGTACGTTGAGAGGAAAGAAGGCAAGTTGATGAGCTTGGAGATAAGATCTTTTGGCCTGCGAGAGCAGTTACCTCAGTCTGATTCTATCTCCAAGCGTTTTTTCCCCTCAGAGGGTATGTCGTCGTCACGTCAAGGCCCCTCTTCACGATGGACGCAGTGCGCAATGTCCCGTAACCAGTGCCTTATAATGCAATTCAATTTCCCAAGTGCTCATCTGAAATTGTAAAGCCAACATTGCGATTACTTTTTTTTTCTCCCTCAACAATTGGGTCAATAAAACGTGAAACGCTTGTTTGCAGAGCTGATGCTGAGTCAAAAGCGAGAAACGTGGACTAAACAGATTAATGAAGGGATCAGACTGCTGATACTCGAAACGCCTCTGGGGATGGATCAAGGGTGCAAATCCGATTTGCCGAGTTGAAAAATATTGCGGCAATTTTGCCCAAATGATTTCTAATCTCTGATAACAATTTCGTTAGGGGAGCAACCCGGGAGAAAAAAAAATTATAGTCGGAATATTTTTTCAATATCAATTCAAAACATTTTTGCAAAACTTTTCACAATTTTTTTTTAAAAGCAATTGTATTTTTGGGAAATGTTTTGAAGAATTTTTCAAAACCTTTCCCAAAAATAAAATTATTTTGTTTTCGATTTTTTTTTTCATAAAAAAAATTTTCTAGAAAGTTTTCCAGAATAAAAATTTTCCGATTAAAATTTTTTTTTCACCCGGGAATCATTTGTACAAATTCAGCTGAAGTTGTTGTTTTCACCTACAACTGACACAATTTTTTCTCAACCCAGTGGATTTTTCACAGGTTTGGAATGATTTTTAATGCTAATCATTCGAGTGTTTAACCAGCGTGACGCTGTGTACCGCGGCTCGTTAAATATTAAGTACATAATTCCACTTGGCCATTTAGCCCTCAACTCCACCCCTCATTTTAATGGTATCGGTGAGTTCGGGGCATTCGACTCTCACACCATGATTCCTATTTTTATTCCTCTCTGGGGCGTAAAAACCGAGTGTTCTCTTCTTTTTTCCCGAGTTACCCACGGACAATCGACGCGGTAATCACCCAGGTTGGGCGCCGGAAGCCGTGGCAAGATATTCGCGCGCTCGCATCAGATAACCCCTGGTGCAGAGCCGCCTGACCCCACCAAGACTCTCGTGCTGTCTCAGATTCCCGTACCCTCCCCTCCCAACCCCCTGGATTCAATAAAAAAATTCTAAAGGAATTATAATACCGAACAATGAGAAGAAGAAGATTATTATCGTTTCGTGCAGATTCCCATTTTTTTTATTTCGATAATCCGAATTGCGAGGGAGGGAAAATACAGGTGACTGCATCGATGAGCAATTTTATTTTCTTTTATTCACTCTGTACCCCAATACGGCTTACGATCCCCAGGTAAATACGAGATCCCTCCAGATACGCATATCTAATCGCCAGATTGCTATCTCCGAGTTAGGTACTTGCCGACAAGTGCGCGTGAGCGCATTCACAATTTTCGTGATCAATCGCTTCATTTTGCGGTGGTGGTGAATTTTTTCAGGAGTGCTGGCTACTCGCGGACAGTAGATGGTGGGAATTCAGCAATTGCTGGGAATTAGGAGAGCTGATCATTTTCTCATGAAAATTACCAACAGAAAAAATTCGCGGGAATAACTACAAGATCTGGATAACTGCAAAAAATCGATCACTCAATTACGGATTCTTGTGAATTTTGAGAGAAGTTTAAGACTCGGTGAACCTTTCGTAATTTCAACGGAATCTTCATAAAAATTGGGATATCCCGTTTTTATCGCTGGATTACCGCAATAACTCGCAATTTTTATGAATTTTTTTCTCTGACTCCAACAGCTTCAGGTTATCGACGATTTTGATTTTTTTTTTTTTTTACTCTGATTTGGGATATGTTCATATGGAATTGAACAAAGAGTTGAATACATGATCGACTGAAAAGTCTCCCCGGAAGACGTTGGAGGCTGTGCGCGCGCGTCACCCGCGGTGAAACGTACCATTTATCCACGTCAACCTCGTTCGCCAACACTGCGGCGCGAGTCGTCTCCATATATATTTTCTTCTCTCTACCACTCTGTCTTCCTATGTGCAACCATATAAACCCCGAGTATATAACCCTCAGCATCACGCCGACTTGCACATGCGTTTTCCTTGTACCGAGGCATTTGTGGGAATGGTGTACATGAGTTCACGATTTTACAGGAGTCATGGCGAGAAAAAATTCCATCAACTCCGACAATAAACATGCGAATTTACTAACATCTAGAATATTCACATTTTTTCAGGGAATTCGCATCTTCTCATTAGTCTCTCCCTTTGAATCACCAGACGGGAAAGAAAATCAAGATTTTTCTCATTTTCAGGTACTACTGAAAAATGAAAAGTGAAAAAATTCTCGAACGTTCCGAGTCTTCTCTTCAACCGATTTTTCTTTTAGTGCGATTGTTTGTTTGGTTGAAATATAATTAATCGAGTGATCCAATTGTTTTCATTGCACTTAACGGATGACGCGCACGCGCACCATTCAGTCTATCCTCCACTCGGTTTGCAGAATTTTTTCTCATTTCACATTGCCAACAGATTACGTGCATTGTACCTATCCCATGCATCCTGCGGTTCACTCGGATAGACGCTTGCGATAAACTCGGTTAATGCGGAAATTAACCGTTATATCTTTGCACTTATTTACACTCGACCCGGTCGAGATAGCTTATCCAATGACGGACTTTACGTTCCTCGAACATATTTTCGAATTTCAAAATAAAAAAAATCTCCAACGTTATCCTGAATAACTGAAAAATTTTCGCTCCCCCACTGTCATAAATTTGCAATTATTCAAATCGATACACCAAAATTTTTATTTTATTTTTCCTACAATTTCATCGCCCAACAATCTTGTAATTTTCACCAGAAAATTTCGCTGCAATTGATACCTGAATTTCAACTGAAAAAAATTATAGAAAAAAATCGTTGAGATAAATTGAACTCTGAATTTTCCATACGAGATGCAGAAAAGGGAATAAGTGACAGAATATTTTATCGATGTCATCCTGCCATCTCTGAACGCATGGACTTTTATTTAATCATGAAGAGCTGGAGTTACTCCAACTTTAACAGTTCAATTTGCCTGAAAATAATCGTCTCCAGCACCGTCAGATGTCTCCCCCTGGTGGCACCCGCCTCCCCCCGGATGCTGTGAGCCCAGTAGCCGAAACATCTCCGTCTCACTCCCATAATCTCCATCCTCTTCCCCCAGTGCGGCGAGCACTTGGTACCGTCCAATAGCGTCGCGAGTTTATCGTCGAGCCCTCGCTCCATTGGTCAGTCGACGCAACTCCTATCGAGCGGCCGCCAACAGGCCGCGCCTAGCATTCTTCTCGATAGCCCTGTGCACTCCACAGCCCTCACCAAAAACCTACCCTCTTTCCTCCCTCTCAAGATATATCCGACACCTTCAATATTTTTCCCGCATTATTCTCGATCACCCGAGGCCCTTCCGCTCCCCCCAACAATTATCAATTACCAATTACCCATGAACCGACCAGTAATTAACAACATAACTTCCTCCAGGAACAGGAAGAAGTCAGGAGAATTATTCGGTTATTAGAATAATCATTAAACTAATTATGGGAATTGTATTATTTATTTTTTCAGAGGAAAAATCGGGTTGAGATAGAATCGAGGAAAATGAGGAACAGCCTGGGAAAAAGGGATTTTTTTTTTTTTTTGCATTCTGGGATGTGAGTGTTTAGGGGTGAGACGCACATGATATCGCGCAGACGCAGGGCGTCGGGACGACGACGTCGAGCTCTCGTGTTTTCTCTCTCTGGCAACCCCCGTTGGAAACCCCTCCCCGTCGTCGATCCGTCGGGCGCACATCCACAACTGCTACCCCTCTTCTTCTCCCGTTCCATCCTGACGTCTGTGCCGCCGCCGGCGAGTTCCCGCTAGCTATAAACCCGGGTACGGTCTCCGCAAGTCTACCAAGTCTCACAATGTGCTTTTATTTGTAAATAAATCGACTACTCCACGCCGGAATTTTTTTGATTTTCCATCGATGATCGGCTGATTGTCGGGGAATCGTCGGACGAGTGAGTTGTGCTCGGTATTCGGTGCCGGTTGTGATGCACAAGCACGTGGTGAACTGGTCCTCGAGGCGAGTGATCGTCGGGCGAGATTAAGGAAATCGGGATGACTCCCGGGAACTGAAATTTTTCGGGGGTATCTGGCATTTTCGAGCGGTGATGGGGAGGGTCTTGTCGCGGATTTGCTTGTGGATTTTTCTGGAAAGTGGAGAAATTTATTTTCGGAGACCTGCGCCGACGGTGCGTGAAACAATCGTCTCCTGGAATATGAGAAACACGAACGAACATATGTGAGTAGAATATACAGAAGGTATCCAGTGCATTTTGTGGAATTAATAAAAAATATATAATTTCACGTGTTGTTTTCTCCGCGTATAAAATATATCAGCGATTCTCTTCGAATTCTCCCTGAATCACTCGTCAATTATGAGAGTAAAAATAAATGGCGTCCCGCTCAATTATAACGCGTATAATCGTTCAATGGCTAATAGCACCCACATAATTCGAAAAAGCCTCGCACAATGCCTGAATATTTTTAAAAAGTCCGCTTCGGCTCGTAAAAATGGTTATCCAGTCGATCGCGAAAGATAAACGAGGAATAAATGATGAAATTATAGTCTTATATAATTTAATACTCTGCAATCATGACTCATCATCCCCATTTGGCGCTTCATTTTTATTGCATTAACATCGTGCAGTAATAAAACGCAAATTGAGTGATTTAGACGTACTTGCGTCGGAAGCGATTATTTCCATCAGTATTGCCCACTTCACTCTGAAATTGCGATAAATCACGTATCACGATCCCGCGAAATCTCTCAAAACCCTCACCCACAACTGTTAAAAATATTTACTAGAATTTTCCAGCTATTGACCGTGTAAAAGACCAAATCACTGACGGCTCTCGTAAAATTTCCAGAAATTTCACGATTGAATAGTCGGTTACTCAAAAAATCACAAGAAAAAATATTACAGCTGAAAAAACGATTGCGTCGAAAAATGTTACAGCAGGGAAATATTAGTAATTAATATTTCAAAATATTTCGCGTTGAAACATCACAGACGGAATGACTTGTAATTTCTGTCAAAATATTTCGAGGGCTAATATCATTATGATTATTATTGATTAAAATTTAGAGCAGCCCAACCAGCGCTGACCAGTAATTGCACTTAAAAAAGCAGTTGGCATTTTCAAAAAAAAAAAAAAAAACCGGAATTTACTACTTAACGACTAGTCCCCGATTACCCGAAACATACGGATTTCAGGTAAAAGCCGTCAGCCGGGTCATTAAAATCTCAAGGTATCCGGGCGAAAAGCCGAAAAAAAAATGGCGGCAATTGTGGAGTAAAAAAAAAAATTCCCCCCACCGTTGATCCCCCGATTTCCGGACAAACGCGTGAAGCCAACCCCATCCCGCGGGCGACATTGAGTTATCGCGAATGAGACGTTCGCCTCGACTCCACCAATTAGCAAACCTCCTCCCGACGATTCGAAACTGAGCTACTACTCCGGAATCCATTCATTAACGGGACGCCGGTCACGAATTGTTTTCATTCATGGATTTCTCGTGCGTATAGTATATAGGCGCGAGCACGCGCCTCCTGAGCGTGTCCTGAATGAACGAGCAACCGACGTGGCCGCGTCTTTACCTCCACCACGTCATCTGGGTTCATCTCCCCCTTCAGCCAACGTACACCCGACTCTCTTTTTTTTAACTGTCTTTTTACACTGTTAAGCATTAAGCACCGGTGTTAGTTATACGTTAACGCGAATGACTTTGTTTCTCAAGGCGCGACGATACGGTCGATGATTTCAATCTGAAAACCCGGGGATATCTTATCCCCCCCCGCATTGTCGGGTACCTCGTGAACACACTTCGCTGACTCGGAGGCAAAATCACCTTTCCGATATCTCTCATATGAGATCACAATTGAATAAAACATTCCCTGACGTTAATTGGTATTTCATTAGTGTAATTTTTCATTGATTAATTGCTACTCCCCTTCCATCGCGGTTTTCCTTGAGAAAAACATACTCGGGATGAGTCTCGCTTAGAGTACTCCCACAATTGCTCAGTACCACTTGCTGACGCTGGAAACTATTCTGCAAATTTTCAGGGAACACCTGAATTCTCCATTGACGAATCCGTTAATTTCCCTGAATGTTCAATCAACTCAAAATTCAATTGCATTTTCTGTTAATTATCATTTAACGCGAAAAATCGCATTTTTTTTTTTCCAAATAAATTGGAAATTTTCGTTGAAATTGAATTCTCATCTATATAATTGAAAATTCAGAGGAGTCGGTGACGGAATCGTTAAGAAATTTTTGAGAGTGTAGGGCGAAAATAGGTGGACAATTTCCGCTGTGAGGATGTCGATGAGTTTTGGAATTTATGCAGCACCTGTTTATTTTTTTATAGGATGTAGAGGTGCCAGTGTTCACCGTGATGCTGAAGGAAGTCGGTTGCGGTAGCAGTACACCCCCACCTGGGGACACAACACCAGCTGGTCGTCGAGATAATCAGGGGGATTCAGGTAGCTCCGAGGGTGGATTGGCGTGTGGGGGCTGCGGTCGGGATATTGCGGAGAGGTGGTACCTGAGGGCTGCTGATCGGGCATGGCACTGCGGATGCCTCAGGTGCTGTCATTGTCGAGTGCCACTCGCTGCTGAACTCACTTGCTTCGCCAGGGATGGCAATATCTACTGCAAGGAGGATTACTATCGGTTAGCAATCCGACAATTTCGTTCAAAGAACATCAGATACTCCATTTTAATTGCGGAAAACACCCTAAAGACAGCCATTGCAACCGGACTTTGAACTTTCCATGGCAATTCAAAAGGATTTTATTTTTCGAATTTCCCTGTTTTGAATTAAAAAATTATTAGAATATATTTTGCATCTAAATTATTTTTATGAGCTAATTGCAAGTCAGTTTACAGTTTCTACTGATTTTTTTTAAAAGTTCGTGATTTTGACTAATCGTTCTAAGATTTTCTCTCGAAATTAATGAATTGTCACTCATTAAATATTTTCAGGATATCTACAAAGACTAATTCCCCAAATGCCGAAATTCACAGGTCTTTATGATAAATAGAAATTAATGCGGAATGCATGCTGGTGTTGGTACCCCCGAAAGATTAAACCAGCGGACCCCCAGAGCCACCCATCGGTCCACCATCTCGGTATTTATTGCGGTAGTGGCTGAATTTGCATAGGAGCGTCACTTGTGTTCACTCTGGACCACACAAAATGCCTACTAATGGCCCTCTCCTCTCCCACCTCTGCAGGTCCTCTCGGTTTTTTCCTCTCCCCAGGCATGAAAACCCCCGGAGCATCACCACCTGCGATGAGAGATTAGAAAAACAAAAAATTATGAAAAATCCTTGATTGACACTCGTGTCTTTACGTTGCGACGTGAAAACACTCGTTACGTTGATTTATTATTACCTTTTACAATCGCGCATTTCCGGGGTCCTCCGCAGAGATGCACTTCGCGGAAAAGTCTTATCTGGTTCGAATATTTTTATTCCTGTCTCCTCAGTCGTTTCATCCAGGTGAAAGTTTCATTTTTCGATTGTTGCCATTGTTCCCAGGATGATCCGTCTTCCTTTGGACATTTTCAATTCTCGAATTGTATTTGCACGAAATAAAAAGGAAACAGGCAAATATATTTTTTTATAGATAAATTTATTTCCATATTTTTTTTTCCGAATATTCTCCTGGTTTGCCCACAGAGAAAAATATATTAACATTTACCCTGAAGATGTGAAAATTATTGCTCTTAGGGAGTTTTTCAACAAAAATCTGAATTTCACCAGCCATGCCAGGGTAAATTCAACAATAAATTTTCCTCGGTGTATTGAAATCTAAAAATAAGAGGCTTAAGAAAGAAATAAAAATGGAGATTGTGGATCGGGTCGATATATAGATGGCAAGGAAGAGAATACTCCGGTATATATCTACGGTTCTGGTTCGTTAGGGTAGAAAACAACGTCACTCCATGCAATATGCAACAATGTGAATACGAGCTCCCGGCATTGGAGCCTGGAATGAATAGAGAGAAGTCGGTGGAAAATAAAAGAGTCGGAGCACAAACGTAAAGTTAAAAAAAAATGAATCTTTTTGTTGGGAGGAACAAAGAATAAAGAGGAGACCTTTGTCTCTATCGTTCGTATTTTAGAAACTCTTGACGTCGCAGCGCCAAGGAGAGATTCAGGGTTTTGATCGCGCACTCAATACTGAAACTCAATGCCTAGTAGTTGGAATTATAAATCTCTCCCGGGTAACTGTCGAGTTTTGTATGAAAACGTAGGCTGCATTGGTTATGGGGGGGTGAGGGCATTGTTTGCCATTTCTGGGTGGCTCCATTGAAACACCAAGGAAATCCTCAGCTTCATAACCATGAATCAGATCTTATTATCGGCAATGGAAAATTATCGCTGTCACATGGAGATCTGAGAGAAACATTATATTGTTACAGGCTCTTCGCTGTCTCCAGGTGCTCAAGATGTCGGGCTGGAATATCTGCATCGGAGCTGGTGATGAGGGCCAGGGAACTTGTCTATCACGTCGCCTGTTTCGTCTGCGCATCTTGTGGGGTTCCTTTAAATAAGGGGGATCACTTCGGACAGAGGGATGGCCTCGTCTACTGCAGGTCAATATCATTACGAAATTACAAAGTTTCCCATAAAATTTCAGGATTCAGAAAGTATAATTATAAAATTAAGGAATTATAAATTCAAGTAATGTTTAATGACATTAATTGAAGCGGTAATTAATTTTTTAATCATCGGAAATCTCGGGGATCAGGAATATTGGAAATTTTTCTATGAATTTATTTCTGGGTGGAGTGAAAAGTCAGAGGCGAGTGTTGGGGAATTTTTTTTTTGTAATTAATCAAATGATTTTTTTTTTTAGGCCTCACTACGAGTTGATCTGCTGCACGGCGGATTACGGTAGTACTCCAGGTAGCGTGGAGGACTTGGGATCACCAGGAGTCTCGCCCTTGCCCTCGTACTACAGTGCTCCGGAGCAGAGTCCGGTGGCGTCAGTGGGTTCCGTCCAAAAGGGCCGACCACGAAAGCGAAAACTCTCTGAAGTCACCGGATCAGAACTCCCGGTGACGATGAGGCTCGCATCAGGCGCCCTCGGTAATTACTATTTCAATGAACAACAACGATTACATTATTCCCTGCAATTCAGAAAAAAAATCCCACGAATTTATCCGATTTTTTCCAATCCATATTCATTATATTTTCCGTAATTTAACCGAGCGTTACACGATTGAAAAAAATCGCCAAAAATTTTCCCCGCTGTCAGAGGTAATTTTTACTCAACTTCTCTCCCCGTGTAACAGCTTGTCGCCGTCGAAGACGTATTTGCACTGGTTGAAAAAAAAAAAAAAACCGATGCTTGCGCAAATAAGAGGACCCGCGGGGCCTCGAGTGCAGAGCAAATGGCCGGTTTCACAACGAGAAGTAGAAACACAGATGAAACGCGTCCACCAGCCGGCCAATTACCCATTCACCCCTAGTTGAATCCACCCCACGTCGATACTTCCATCGGAATACGTGTTGTGTTTTTCATTCACTCCCTCAATTACCCGGTATTTGTCCGTTCCCCAGACATGAAAAAGGGAAAATAAAAAGAAGAGAAAAAACAAATCTGACCGTCAAACAGATCATACGGCAATCGTGCAACGATAAACGTTTAATGGCCACTGAGAGAAATATGAATGGCTTCCCCGAACGTTGAGAAAGAAGCTGAAGCGCGTGGAGGACTGGGGTGTAAAAAATCGAGGGATGTTGACAATGAAACGTTAAGTTGAACCAGTTACGACGACATATCCTCGCGAGCCACCCGAGAATGGTCAAGCTGAAAAGACCGATCACGTCATTCTCAGTTATTTTATAATCGCTGGACAATTAAAGAGGAGAAGATACCCACTGAAGAAACAGCGCTGAGCGATTTCTCTCCTCGCCAACCTGGAATTTACGATCCAGGAGCTATAAAATCCTCCAGTCTCGCCCCTTTTCGCTCCATCGTCTTCTCCAGAACGACCAGCAGTCCCACACATAACGCTCGATGACGATATCCCCTAAAGTTTTATTGTCTCTTGGAAGGATACAAGCGCGCCGAAGACATATGTATTTATTCCCCTAATATCATCAACATTGTTTTCTTTTTGATTCTCCATGATAACAATTTAGCGCTTTGTCGTTCTCTCGGACGGGTTTCACCCTTTTTCCTCTACCTCCAATTCAAATTTAACACCGCATCGGCGCTGAGAAGGAACTGTTTTTATTCTCAGGTATCGATCTCGACGTTGAGTTCAATTTTTTAAAATGCAGGGACAGCAGTTTTTAATTTTTCAAATCGGATTCGGCTGTATCCGAATCATATATAACATAGTTATGGAGTTCAATTGATCGTGCGATTGGATTGGATTGCAAAAATAATGGAGGTGTTTGTGAAAATGAAAATGTCCTTTTTTTTTTCTCTTTGAACCTGGGGGAGGATAAGTTCATGGCGAGTTCACTGGAATAAAGGGGGTATAAAGAATGGGACAAAGGGGGAAATAAAAGGAGGGAATACATGGCTGAGGCCCCGCAGGGGACAGTGACAGATGGGTATCGACGCTGAGATGCATCGATTGGCCGCTCCCTCCCGGAAAAGAATGCCGCCGCTGACCAATACCCAGCCACTGCGACCAGAATGGCCGAACACTGATACCTACATTCCCTTACTTGCTTCTTCCACCTTCTCGCATTTCTCTTTTATCTCACTCAGTGCATACTGCATTTTATTTCACTCTTCTTCGATTCCTCACTTTTTATTTGTCCCACTCGTAGCTGGATCCGTCGTTTCATCTGCCCGCAGCCTTAATGCACTTGGTTTGCCAATTTTTGTTTTCCCCCGCAGTGACAAATTGTGACCTCATTCTTAAGGCATGCCCCCATCCTACCGAGACCTTCCTCCACCTTCGGCGCACAATCGATCCCTTCATCCTGATCGCAGCAAATAGTTGAGCTTAATTAGGCACTTGCCAGTCCATATCCACTTTTTTTTTTGTGCCGAATCCATGGGACTGGGGAGCTAAGCAGATGAATGTTTCTTCAATTTCTGTTTTATTCATTTCGTTTTTCGTTGATTGCGCTTCAGACACCGGAAGCTTGATGCACCTTGCAGAAATATTTTCTCCAGAAGTGGATGGCGATGTGACATAAATATTGAAACAACTGCCGACTGGAACCGAGAATTTTTCAGACATTTTTTTTTTACCACTCCCTTCTACCTTTTCCGGTGGAGTTGTCCAACGCGGCCATTGCTCAACACCGCTCCTTCCACCCAACTCCAATTGAGGTGTCCTAAATCCTAAATGTCCTAAAGATATTTCTCGGAATCTCGGCTCCACGATCTAACTCGTCAATTTTTATCTCCGCGGATTTCCACTGGCACACGGTTTTCAATAAATATCTCAGAATTGAGGGCTGATATCGAAATTTTTGTTAAAATGTCTTAAACAGAGAGAGTGAGGTTCTACAAAAAAGTTTATTATAAAAATTTCATTATCTGCCTTAGATCTGGAGATATTCAGCAGCAAATCAAGTGAAAAATGAGTCGACTTGACTTATTTAAACGCTTCGTTCCTGAAATGTTGTTGACAGTTTGAAAATGAACCGTGGCAAAGTGTTTTGACTGACGCGGAATTTTTATTCGGTCTCGTGAAATTGGCAAGGATCGGATCCCCTGAAGAATCGAGTACCGTTACACAATACTCGAAAAGCAATCGATCCAGTCTGCGACTGCAGCTGCCTCACGTACAGTTTTACAAAAGTTGTCTTTTTGCTCGTGTTACCCTTCTTTCAGGGCTCCTCCTTTTGTCATTCTGAAGCGGTGGTCCAGGGGCAGCACGTGCTGACCGCCGTTTCATACATTGATTACAAATGACGGCCCGACGAGCAGTTGTTCATCGAAATTATTCGGTTGTTGGATTTTTCCCAGAACTCCTGCACCCGAATGAGCTCTCGTCCTCCATGGAGTCTTTGACTGCTTACGACACGTCCGTGGGATCTCCAGGACCAGTCCACCAGAGCCAGAGGACCAAACGCATGAGGACGAGTTTCAAGCATCACCAGCTGAGGACCATGAAGAGCTATTTCGCTATTAATCAGAACCCCGATGCCAAGGACCTCAAGCAATTGGCGCAGAAGACCGCATTGTCCAAACGAGTGTTACAGGTGATTCCCATGATTATCCGCTCGGTCTGTCACAATCAGCTCAATAAATTTTTTTGAATTTTATTGAATGTCTTTCACAGAATTTTCCACAAAAACCATAAAAAATTAAATCAAAAACAATTGTTGCTTCCCTTTTTCTCTCATTGAAATTCCTAAAAATTGGGAATGAATCCCTGGTAATGATGCCATAAGTTTTAAAAAATATAAAAATATGAAATAGGAGATTTTTATTTTGCTGCAGGTGTGGTTTCAAAACGCGCGAGCCAAATGGCGTCGCAACATGATGCGTCAGGAAGGTAACCACGGTGGGAGCAATGTGGGTTGTCCGGGTACCCCAGTCTCCTCATCAACGGGTAATTCCCCAAACATTGGAACAAACGCGGCATTCTTGGGGGACAGCAACAGCCAGCCCTCAACCTCGATGGAGGAGATCCACGCACTCCATCACCTCCACTCAGGCGTATCCTCCCAGATGTCCTTCTCCGATCTCTATTGACAACGAATGGAGGAGGAGGACAGCTTCTCCTCTGGCTACCCCGGATGAATAAACGAATCATTCATCCAATAAAAGACTTACGGTGCTACGTGTTAACGGTTTAATCTGAACCCCCCAACAGACTCAATAGAATCGAGAAAAAAAAAAATTGAGTTCAGAAAACTCCACTAGTCACTAGACCACAACGCAGTCTATTTCATTGAAATTAACTCGTTTAGACGTAATACGTGATAATAATCGTAGTTGGCAGATCCGAATTACCAAAGTGATTAGACAATAGGTTTGAAAGTGTGTCGACAGTGATTGAGGATTGGGGAGCGTCTGCAATAATCATTCCTTTCTTCATTTCCAGTGTCATAACGAATGTCTCGGATGTTTATTTAAATCCAGCATCATTGTAAATTAAATTGAGAAACAAGTGTAAAATGTGTGATGTATAGATAAATAATTATGCTACTTCACCTCTAGTCTTCGCATGATTAATTTGTACTGAGATAAGCGAGAGCAACATTTTTTACCGCGACATCTCGTGTCTCTCTGGGAATCCTAATTAGCATCAAATTGGGTATTTAAAGATTTCACGACAGAGGAAGAGGGGGGAGGGGCGGCTGATTTTGCTAGCCTACTTAAAACCTGTGTGAATTGTTAGTGCCATAATACATATAATTTAGAACACGCGCGTGTTTAACCACTCACTACTCTTCTTCGCGCCCGGAGACAAGCCCAATAGTGTCTATATGAGTTTAGCTTTTAAATACACATGCACTGGGGTGGATATTCTGGTGGGCGCTCATATAAGTTAATTTTCAATCTATATGCGGACCTCGGATGCTCAGACTCTCCGCGACTCATCAGCGAAATGAAGAAATTGAGACTCTCGTTAATATTTAATGAACTTGGAGGGCAAGGTCTGGTGGTCGCCAGTGTTTGGCCAACTTTTGCATACGCCGATATTAATGCTCACTATTTTCCATGAATCCTCTTTACACTCGTGGAGTACGAGGCAGTTTATTCAACTCATTCTCAATTTACGTACAGAGAAAGAAGATTTTTTATGGCGAAGAAAAATCCTTCAATTCTGAGAACTCTTGACTTGATTTAAGTTAATTGTTAATTGTTATTGTGTGGGTTGAGCTGATTTTAGTTGGGCTTTTAATCATCTCGACATTTGGTTTTCTCACATTTTAAGATCAAGATTTTTCAAGTAAAAAAGTCAGTAATTCGGAGTAAGTCATGCTCATTAATCGTCAGGAACACAGACCCCTAGGATCGAGTGACTTATTCTAAAAAAAAAAAATGCCTTTTCTCCGCGCAATCTCAAACAAGCGCATACGTGAAATATAATAATTCCAGCGACCGGCAATTACAGAATTCCGGTGGAAAGTGAATTCACGTGAAAATCCGCGTGCACACGATGTGAACGTGCCGAGGTTATTCTTCCGTGACTGATTGAATTTTACGTTAATTAGACGCGGATCGTTAAGCCCAGTGGGTCGAAGGCGTCGGACTGTCTCGCGTCCTAACCAGCGATCCTCATATCACAAATGAAGAATCCCTCGAACCTCAACCCCTCCCCAAGGACGTAGATCAATTATTCTGCGATTCAAAAAACAGCGGTGACAGTTGATTCGCTGAAAATCCCCCGAGTGGTTTTATCCAACTGCCAACTTTGGTAGCTGGTGCTTTCCCACGGAAGGGCTCTCTGGAGACTTCTTGAGAATTTGAACTTGCCTTTCAATCCCTGCCAGAATCATAAATCCCATCCGAGTCTTCTCTCTCGTGAGATAAAACCCCCGGCCCCCTAAACCACCCGGATCGATTCGTCAGCGTCGTCGCGCGTTTGAAGTACCGCGCAAGAAAACGCGCATCGGTATTTCCACTGATTCCCACCCCTCGACAAACCGAGAACACCCATAAGACAATGGCAGAAGAGGTGAGGTGAAGAGGTGGAAATACAAGACGGCTGGATTCTTGCGAATGATGGATCAAAAAAGTGGAGCAATTTTCAGTAATTTGTACGCGGTGGCGGCCGAATCCGCTCAAGTATCGGCACTCCGGTGAGACTTGCCGATGCAGATGGCGCTGCAGGTGATGCGGTGAAAATTAAACGCGCAAGTGCACGCATGCGCAGATGATAATCCAGAGGTACCTCTATTTCGGAGGGACAGGAGGTAGAGCCGAGTGAATCCGGTCGATACTCTTTTGTTCTGTCAAAACGTCGGGACGTGGACCGCGCCCGGTCTCCCTCCCTCTCTCAATCGTCAATTCGCTTTCTTTTTCTCCCCCGAGGATGCCCTACCAAGGGGCCCTCTTACATTTCTTTGGCTTCTCTCGGGGAAACGATATGTGAGTGCGACGATGGAGACAGAGGCAAACGCGAGTTTTTATTGGGGCGGCTGGTTTCGTTCGCCTCTCCGTTTTGCTCCTGTCCTCTATATCCTCGGCCTTCTGACTCTCTTTATTCGGCCCGTGAGACGATACACCGCTTTCCGTATCTATCCGAGGGGAGAAGATGCACACATATAAACTGGCGAGATTGTCTTTTCGCTGAGCGAGGAGAAGAAAGGAGAGAAGAAGCGGCTACAGCTGCCGCTTTGCGAATCGGGGATATCTCTTCTTTCCACAAGTACCGCCATCGTTCTTCTATCTCCTTGCCGATATATTCTCGGTCTCCACGACCAAAAAATATTTCGATATCTCTACCGAAATCCTCACGATATTTCGCTCATACTCCACTAAATCCGGGGGCTGCAATAATAAAATTACTGCATCCATTATTTTGAAGTTCAGTTTTCGGTGCACTCTGAAAACGCAAGTGACATGCACAAAAATTGTTGACAAAACTCATAAGAAAAATGTTATGTAACTCCAAGGTGTGGTATCAGCGAATGTCTACAGGTCATGCAAAAATCTGAAAAAGACAGAACAAGCTCTAAAATGAAAATTCATCCTCTGAGCAATCAACAAATGTTTTTCCATCACTTATCCTCGGAGTTGAACTGTATATTTCATATGCAGGCTACACCTGACTGACGCCTGTCGCGATAGGAAGGCAACGAGCCATGAAGCAGTAAATTCCAGAGTATCGGCCGGTTATTCAAACATTGGAAAAAAAAAAATAGTAGTTGCGGAGATAATGCATCGGACCACACGCGTTTGCCCTCTCGTCCGGGCAAATGGCGTCGAGGTACCAGCACCTCCGTCGGAGGGTGTTGGGAGGAAAAATAAAATGAGTTGAGTGGGGGGTAAAGCCCAATTCCATGTTCACGGGAGGTTTACGATAACGATAGGGATGGCGCGAGAGGTTGCATACTTGGGAGTTGCCGGTGAGTTTAACTTGGGCGATAGTGAATTCCCTCGGGAGCCCGAAACTCCGATTCGGTGGGGTAAGGAATATCGCGGTGGGCAGATGTTGCATATGGAGAACAGAAAAGAAACAAAGATGGCGGCTTTTACCGGGTCGGCTTCTCCCGCCGCCTTCGAGTGGACCCTGGCATTGTCTACTGTGGTGAACGTTGTAAATAATGTCTCCTCGCTGGTTGGGTGTAGGGAGCATGAAATCCTGTGTGCACGAGAGAGGTGGATGCTGGTGGACTTGGATATCCCATCCTTCGGTTGTCCCCCTTCGAAACGGCCAACCTGTCGCGCATAAACTGATTCAGCACCCATGTCCCTTCCGTAAGTCCCTGTACACATGTGGGACTCATTCTCATTGGTCGATACCACGGGATCGCTGGATCACAGATTCACGAATTCCATAGGACAAGGAAATCGGAAAACTCAATGATTTTACCTGGAAGAATTTCATGAATTCAGAAAAATTTTAAAAATCCAGAAAATCCCCGATCTCTTCAGGAAAAATTTCAAGATGAACGGAAATTTTCTTCAGGTTACATTCAGGAACGCTGTCTCATGAATTTTCATAATTTCCAGGGAACAATTGAGTTATCTATTTTTTTGAATTTTTACCGGACTCTTGACGCGATGAAAATCTGAGAAGTTGCGGGTTTTCCCCTTTTTCCACAGCCATCGGGAGAAAAACCAGATAGCCCGAGGAGAATGGTAGGAAAGAGTCAGACAGCATCTTGGGGACCTCGGATGCAGTGAGAGTTCACGTTAGCTCGTACACACACTTGTGGCCCCCCTTTATTTTTTCGTGTTGCCAAGTCTCCAGGATTATCCAACCGGCGCATCGCTTATTCGTGTATCAGGAGTTTTTTACGCTTTTTCATTCTCGTGGCGGGGCGACGCGCGGTGGAAGATTCTTTGTTTGCGATGGTCGTTCTCTCCAGGAAGAGGCGCGCCTCTTCTCTGTTGGGTTAAGGGAATAATAAAAAATGAAAGGAGGGAGGAAAGGGGGGGTGGGAGAGAGGAAGGGAGATGGCCAGGAGAGAACAAGAGGAGCAAGGTGGAAGGAGGAAGATAGTGGCCATTGTAGCACGATCTGGACAAAGGTCGCCATAGCGACGGAATTCAAAGGGGAACACGAAAATGGCGATTTATGCTAATTGAAGTGCTTCTGACCGTTTACCAAGTTTCACTCTACCTTTCCTTTATCCATAGACCTCCCTCTTCCCTCACAAATGCGTATTCGACGATTTTTTTCTTTCACTCCCTTCGATCGAGTATCTCCGATGAAGTATTCCGTGAAAATTAAAATAATTAAAATACCTCGAAGATGTTGAATATTTATGTAAATAGAACAACGGTGGAGAAACACCTTCTTTCACCTGCTCTAATTGAATTTTTTTTATCCACCATTACGTGAAATGTGGAATAAATGATAAACGAGAGATGTCAAGGTGGATTATTTATCGTAGTTACATTTCTGGGGAATTGATGGGATTCCATGGGGACCTGGTGCAGGTGCTGGAGATGAGAAAGCCATTACGAGAAACTGTGAATAAATGGACGCTTTTGCCGATTCGTTTCTGTACTCATTCTGTCAAGGATAGCCACCACTTGGGAGTGGAGCTGCAGCGTTGGGGGATTTTTTTTTTTTTAGAAAAATTCTGTAGCTGGGAGGGAGAGGGTGGGGTGATTTAGCTGCTCGCTGACTTTTTTTTAGGAATATCTCGATAGATTATCTATCTGTTTAAAAAAAAAATGACAATTTTCATCGATAGTCTTTTAAAACAATTAGTTAGGAAATATTTAGTTGGCAATATTCATTAATTACAAGGTTAACGCATTTCACTCAGGAAAGTACGTCAACGTTGCGTCTGACGCAAAAACTGGAACGAGTTGTTGTGAAGTAGAAAAGGAACGTGGTATGGCGGCCAAAGGAAAATTTTGGGTGACCTGTGAATTTTTTGTAATCACCACTTTGCCATATTTTTCTAGTATTTTTTAAATCCTTATTAAAAAAATCATTTGAATTTGAATTTCATGGGATTCTAATAAGATTTTTTTTTTTTCAAAATTTCCAACGCAATTTTTAGAAGTTCTTCACAAGTGAAATTCTCACTGAGTTCCCAGAGATAATTTTAAAATATGTGACAATTACAGGAATTCTGGAGAACTTTCGAGAATTCCTTTGAATTTTTTCAGAACTGCAATCCACGGAATTCTCGTTGTAATAAAATTGAGAATTTTCTCCGCAAAATGAATACAAAATGACAACCAGTGTATCACCTTTGGCGACTCCCAGAAAAGTAAAAAAAAAATTCCCCACTCGTAAATTAATTCACCGACGAATTTCATAGCCTATCAACGATGGATAACCGAGGATATCTATCAAAGACTTCATCGGTACAAGTATAAAATACGACGCTGTGACCCGATATATTCGCAGTCAATTCTCAATATTGGAGTTGGTTGAATGGGTTTTTAGTTTAAAACCACTCATAACTCAATTTTCGAAATGAAGGATACCGGGTAACGCCCACCGATTCATGCCTGACCTAGGCCTCGTTGAATTTATGACACCGTGCATTAACATATTTCAGAATATAAAAGAGGGGGAGTGATGTGGAGGAAAAAGAGAAAAGTCGGTGATTTCACCGGTGAAAAGTGCAAGTTGATGAATCCCTCGGTGATGCATCGGAGCTTAACCCACGGCAAACGTATCGAATGACCGTTAAAAAAATACGACAAACGCACACATACATGCGTACTGAAAATACGTGCGTAGGTTTGTTTTAACAAGGCATTTAAAGCGTACTCGGTAAACATTCGGAGAGAAATATCGGTTGTTTATGGCGAGGTGATTTATCACCTCTCGCGCGCGTCGGGCATGAGCGTGCGAGGGTCCACTTGAGTGCCCTCTGGCAGGTGAGGGTGGGAGGATGAACCTGGGGAATAGGTTCAGGTGAGGGCTCGTTTAACTTGCGGGGGAGGTTAAAACCCCCTCCTCTTTAGTCGTATTTTTTCCTTTTTCTCTACCATCGACGAGCAGTGATCATTTATTTTTTACTCACTCGGCTCTTGTCGGTTGAATGAGTAGATGATAATTTGATATATCGTTGCGTATTGCTCTTATCAAAAAATACCAATAATATAGGCCATGATTAAAATTTGCAGTTCCTCCAGAATATGTCCGGAATACGCAATTACGCAGAGAACATGAAACATCATTATCAGGTGGAAAAATTCCCGGCAGTTAATTGTCTCGGCGAAATTTCACTGGGGCAAATAAATTTTCCATCAGTGTGCAGCAACCATCGGAAGAATATCCCATTAAAATATGAAGAACAGCCAACAAATTCTCACTCGATTCAATGGTAAAGAGACAATCACGGGAGTCAGGTAATAGATCAGACCGGCAGATCCGATAAGATAAACAAGGGCGAAAACCACTTGGTGCAAATAACTCGAGCGCGGTATTTGTTCTTGTCGTGGATGTAGAAATTTTAATGCAAAAATGATTCAATAATCTGAACGCTCTCGATTCCCATCTCCACATGTGAAACTGTTGAGCTCTCGGTTACGCAACACTGTGGCATCCGATAATAGGAAGCCCAAGCCCTCCGCATCGCTGGGTAATTTTAATTGGCTTCGTTATGCGATTTGAGAATGGCCATTCGACCGTTTTCCATCTTCGACGGATACCGGGCCGAAAAACACGGTGAATATCCCGTGAAATCGAACGGAGTGAGGGAATTCTACTCAATGATTTGTGGCAACGTGCGCTATTTTTAAGTGGCGGCTCTTCGGCGACATTTTTCGAAGACGTCGAGAGGTATCGAAAAATCGGGGGGCGAGGTGCCAGAGGCTGGGCCCCAGGCCCCTACCGATCAGGGTTAAAGGGTTATGAGAATTGACCGTTGAGGTATATTTCTCACCGCTACCGCAAACAGCTACTGTTCGCTTCAATGAAATCCACCAGGTGGGAGGTCTCGTCCAATCTCAAACTAGATTCATTTGACTATTACGAGATTATACTCAATCGGTGGAATTCACCACTCGTTAGGAAGATGTTTTAGAAATGAGACAAGTGTGCCTCCAGTTTTTATTTCAACCGCTTAATCTCTTTGTTTGATTTGAAAAAATTTCGCATTTCTCGAAACTGCTTCCCGCTTCGTCTTTTCAATTCTCTCCGCTGGGATTCTTAATCTTCATTAGTTCGCTCGGTGGAGGCAGCATTTGCATACCGTGCATGGCCTCTCTTTTGCTCTGCGCAACGGTTTTTATCTGATCGTTGGCGACCACAGACTACAACAGGTGAAAAGAATACACCTTTTGTTGGGGTTTCGATAAGTTATTCGATATTACGGCCCATCCAGGAGGCCCGTCATCCGATCCTAGGGAGTACTTTATATTGTTGCTCCCAACTTTCCTGGTTACCCCAGGAAAAACTATGTCTCCACGGAAAATTACAATACTATCAAAAATATTGGCGATTTTCAACTTGAAGGAGCGAACAAAATTTATTATTTCAATACACGTAATTATCTCCTGAATTTTCATTTGGTATTAATACGAGGAAAATTTTTTAATTGAATAGGATGTGGATTAAATCATTTTTGATGCTCCCTGTTTTTCTCTCTATTTTATTTTTTGGTTTAATTATTGAATTCTTCGAGTTGTTTCACCATTTCACAAGGAAACCCAATGCCAATATCGAAACACACGTCCCAGGAATTTAGGAAGCAGCGGAATCCGCACGCGGATATTTTAATTCGGGATTATTGATACAGAATTCGCTACCGTGAGAATCAAGGCCGATTCCTCAAAAGCTAATGAAGACACGTTTGCCTGTTATTAAGAGAAACAGCATTGTCGGTCTTCGGGGCCGAATTTTTCGGCTTATTTATCCCAACAATTTCTAAATAACTTCAGCAACGCCTATTAACCTCCAGAATCACTCGAAATTATTATGATTGCTTATCAAAATAACACAAATCAAAATATCTCCCTTAACCCTTTGTAAATAAATTATAATTTTGTAAATTTGTAACATTAAAAAAATAATATAATGATATCATCCCATCTCGACTTGCAATATTCTCGCGAAGTCATTTATTTAAATCGCAATATTTTTACTTGTAATATTTTTTTGGAATATGCTCAGGGGTGATATTATTAGATTTATTTATTATTATTCTTGAATAAAATTTAGAGCGCTCACCAACGCTTCTCCATCAAGCAGCCAGAGAGAGAAAGATTGAGAGAGAGACAGAAAGAGAAAGAGTGCCGGTATCCGGAGAACGTGGAGAAAGGGGCTGGAGGGGAGTTTCTCTACACGAGGTCAGGTCTGGGGTCTCGGGTTTTGCCGGGGACCCCATAGTCTTATATGCGCCGAAGAACTCACCTTATCGCTGAGGTGCGCTCCTCGTCCGGGTGGCCTACTCGGCCTTAATTGCGGGCCCATATCACGATCCAATATGGCCGCCCACTGAGCACTGGCCAAGTTGAGGTTAGGCCGGTCTTCCCCGATCCCTGCGCCCACCGTACCATTATTTATGTACCACACGTTACAGAATCATCGTGGGATATCAATACCACTCTTGAGTCAAATTACACCCACCCAACAGCCACCCAATCTCTGTCCGTCACGTGACCCACACACGACCGCGACTTTTCCGCGTAAACAGTCGGTATAAACGGTACAATTGGTACAATCGGTGTACGTGAGAGGTCGATTGAAACGTCAGATCTGGGGTTGACGGTGTAATCGGTTTTTGGGAGAATTCACGTGGATGAGGTAACGCACCCCGAGTGGACGACGGCGAAGCACTAGTTTGCCATTGGATTTAGTCGTTCCTCTCTTGGAACACAACTGGGACTCTCCTCGGTCTGAAGTTGCCTGGTTATGGCTACGCCGTGGCGCTTAACGAGTCTAATTAGCGACGAAAACGAAAACGAGTTTAAACCTTTTTTCCGTGAGAGAGGGGAATGGGGCTTCCCTACGCCAACTGCGCGCAGACTCCTCGGCTTTTTTACGGTGGATGAGAGAGAGAGGGGAAGAGGGAGATGAGCGGATGGATGAATGAAATGGGAGAGATAAATTAAGGAGAGTCAAATCGAAAATCATTTGGTCGTGATGTTAGATTTTTTGTTTTGTCTTGGGGGAATCGGGTCAGCGGAACGCGCTGGCAACTCGATGGTTAATTGGGGGGGCCTTCTTTGGTGAGTGGAGATCGGTGACGGAAGGGGATTTTGTGGGGGAGGAGGAAAATGAGGAGGAAATACCGGTGGATTGCGGTGAAAATGAGAGTATTCGGCCGTTCATTAATTAACGGAGGCTACCGACCTCAACTCGGAGGCTCGTTAACCCGCATCCCACTACTACACCTCTGCTTTCCTCCTCTTTGAGCGTCGCTAATCGCAATTCGAGCTCCACCCGTTGGGGGGGCTCCCCTCGACAAACACCACTCCTGGCACACTTATATTCAGACTTTCCCTTTTTTGTGGTGACCTTGCACGCTTTTTATTGATTTGCAAGATTTTTCGCAATTGAAAACCTGAAAAACGCATTTTTTAATTCCAGAAATGCTGAATCTTGTCTGGAAATGTGACAGCAATCGATTGCACATTCAAAGCACATTCAAAAATTGCCAGATTTCTGAAGAATGATCACTTTGGGGGTGTAAAAAAATAGGTCGACGGGAAAGTGTGATTTCCCTCAAGTTTCTCGAGATCAATTTTAAAAAAATCTGTGCAATAGCTTACAGTAGAAATATAGAAGTTCAATCCGCAGACTTGGGGTGGTGTGTCGGAGCGCGGTATTTTCACGCCCCATTATTGCCTTATCTCGTCAGATGAATTGGCGCGGGACACGAGTGTCGTGTTGAAGAGCTCAGGGGATGATGGTATGACGAACGACGCGGGCGTGTCCGAGTAGCCGATACGAGAGGCGCGTGATCGAGAGACCTCCCGTGGACTGGCCACCCTCGAAGGGCCACAGGTCGACTTGTTAAAGGCGCTGACTGAAGGAAGTAAACTGCTCACCTCGAGGACGAGAGAGACACAGTGATCCGAGGATAGCGGAGACAATGTTTCTCAGCTGTTTATGTACCACCGAGTCAATTCCCCAGGTTTTACCTGTGCCCAATACTCGAGTCCTGCAGACCAATTGATACGTCATTAATGCCAATCACTGCTGAGATAATTGTGATGTGGAGAGAAATTTAATTGCAATTTTGTCCTCCCGTTCATTGTCAATTCCTATTTTTTATTTTTTTTTTTTTGGTCAGTAAGGAAATCGTTTGATCACCTGAATTTTTTTTTTATCCCTTGCATCCTTGACAATTGCATTTGCCCGCATTTTAATTCGACGTGATCTTTAGGGCGTGATCGAAGGATTCGCGAATGCCCGAGAGGTGCATGACACACGTGAGGAGAGGAAACGAAAAATCGAGGAGTTGGAATGAGGCTGTGGACCCGCCATGAGTTCCCACGCGAGATTCCTCCCACGATTGCATTGAGATGGGAGGGCGTGGACAACGGGATTGATGCCTCACAAAATTCTTCATTTCCGATCAATAAGATTTGCTATACTCACTCATTTCTTCCACCTGCCATGAGGACCCATCATGATTGAGCCATTAAAATTTACTCTCCCCGTTTATCTATTTTGAAAATAAAAAATCATCTGAATATTTAAGAAATTCATTGATCAGCTAATAAATAATTGGATGAAATTGAAAATGTCAAGTCGTTGCTCGGATAAAAAAACAATTGTAATCGAAATATTTTTTCCAAATTTTCAAAAAATTACTGGAAAACCTTTCAGAAAATTTTTCTTTTGAAACAAAAAAAAATTGATAAACAAAACAATTGTATTTTTGGGAAATGCTTTGAAAAATTTTTCAAAAATTTGTTTGCTTCATAAAAAAAAATTTCTGAAAAGTTTTCCAGAAATTTTTGGAAAATCAGGAAAAAATATTCCGATTACAATTTTTTTTTTACCCGGATGGTAAAAATGTCACGTTTCTTCACTTGAAATTTCGAGTGGAATCTGCCAATAGGGTATATTTGTCTTTAGATTACACGAATGATCACGTGATTTTTTTTTCAAAACTTTTTTCTCTGTGTGGGCGGTAAAAAAACAGGCGTCACGTCGCATTAGCAATGGGGCACGTAAGTTAAACCAGCGGAGGCTCTCGAATCACCCTGCAGGGGCCCTTTTACCACTGTCGGGGGTGTTCGTTATATTCCAGGGCACAAACGCGCACGTTCCAAACCTCATTCTCGTGTTCTAGCCCCTCAATGGGGTCACGTGCCCATACGATTCGGCGAACCCCTTCAAGCCCCCGATATCGTATTTGTACAACACGCACTCGGTACCTCATCCATTACTGCAATCCGTTGTTTGTGTGTTTTTTTTTTTATTCCACTCCAAGCGCCTCTCTCTTTCCCTCGCTTCATCTCCCTCCTTCGATTTCTTTTTGTTCATTTCGTCTCTTCGAGCTGATTTCTTTCTTTTTTCACGCACTTGTTTCGTATTCGTACATTATACCCTGAAAACAATGGCGCCTTGTATGAGAAAAAAAAATCCCTTTGTTTTTTTTTGTACATCTCACTGGACCACGTGGGAACGCTCGCTGGAGTCAGGAGTTGAATTTACCCGAGACAATAAAATTTCTTGATTTAAATAAATCATTTTAAATCCAACGTAAAATATCAGTATTTTTCAAATTGTTGTGTTTTTAAATAAATTATAGGACATGCTTAAACCGCAGGAAATTTTTGGTGAAATTTTTAAAATCCCGAATTTTTGACATTTTTTCACTGGAAAATCAAAGAAAACCAAAAAATCAAAAAAAAATTTTGAATCCAATCGTATTTTCTGATGAATCTTGTGGTTGTCAACAATTATTAAATTTGTGGTAAGATTTTTTAGAATTGCGAGTTTTTCCAAATGCCTTGCCAAATCCAAAGGACGATAATTCCCCACTTGTGAGGACACGTGTCTGAATGAACCGCATATTTGTGTGTAATCGTTTTAGGATAGTCTGGCATTGCCGTGCCATTGAAAATCCCTCCCTCAGGCACCCCTAGCAGTGCAAAGGGACATAAGCTAAAAACGTGGCGGGTTTCACCCGCTGACACGCTATTAATGATTGTCCAACCATTGACACCAATTCCCCCCATTCACCTCGACGACCCTAAAAAAACCGACAAAAAATTCCCAAAAAACGTGGAAACACGATTTTCTTCCGATTCCGATGGATTACGATTTTTCCCCCAGCTGCACATAATATCGAATATGAATTAATTCATTTCTAATAAAAAAGAATTAATTTTGTAATTAAAAGTTCAAATTGTTCTGCGACCTAATTAACGGATAAATTCCTTAATAAATATTCTATATTAAAGAACAAATATCTCGTATCAATTCCGTTCGAGTATCACACCATAAATAAAGAATTGATCGACTACTGATAGAACATGACATACATTTTCCAGCAATTTAGGAGGAAACTGTAATTTTGTACTACTTAAATGGAGTTATTTATTCGATGGAAATAAATAATTTTAGTGGGACAGCGGGAATGTTGTTTTAATATCGTTCAATTTTTAACCACCCAAATGGAGAACAAGATTATCAATCCAGTGAGACAGGGTAGATTAGTGAGTGATGGGTGTAACTTATACGGCGACTAACGGGCGCAAAACGCCGGGGAATACTACTTCGTAAATTCTTTAAATGCGCCGATTTATTTCCCCCGAAGAATGCCAGCTACCGACGTTACGGTGCCGTGCATTCCGCGTGTTTTCAGGCTTCATCTCGGCTTCATACCTTGTATATGTCAGTTGTTTATAAATAAAGCGAGGAGACACCGATGTCTCATAGAGGGAGGTGGAGGCCGATAGCGGATCTCTTATGGCTCTCTTTCGGCGGTTTCTTCGCTCCCCGGGGTCTTCATGCAGAGCGATTAGTTTTCTTCGAGTCAAGTCCACCGAAAAATAACCCCTGGAAATTCCATTTCACTTGTTAATACCCGATCGGTATCGGGGAGATTCTTACGATTGAACGACTTGTAGTCGGGATAAAATCTTTCTATAATTCCCACCAAGTTCTCGGCTTTAGTAACTCTTTGGTATTCCCTATTTTTCGTTCCAAAGATTCTTTTTCAGTCTTTTCGCTATTTTATTATCCAGTTTTTCCGTGGATTAGGCATGAAGGAATTTTTTTAGTGTAATTTAATTTATGAAATTTATGATTTTAGATGCGGTGGGAGGAGGAAATTGGATAGCTTTATAAAATAAAAATAAATTTTGCAATATTTTTTAATTTCTAGAGATGAATGCGATTTTGATTTTAATTGAGAAGACTTCTCAAGTAACCAATAACGAATAACGAATAAAATACCTAAACAAATATCTAAAACAGGAACGAAAGAACTATTTCCGACTCGACTAATAATCTGAAGATACACGTCAGGAAACATGTGGCGTGTGTTTTTGTGTACTCATCGAACCGATTGACATGAGAAGCTTAACACTTGTGGCTGTCAACTCGGAACGAACCCACACCCCAGACACTCCAGCCTTTTGTGCTGATGCGTCAAGAGTCCCATCAAAAATATTATGATTCAACATGAGGCATGATGAGGGAGGAATGGAGGAATAGATCGAGAAAGGACGTGCGTTATCGCCGAAAGAAAAAAAAAAACATTTATGTTTTGTCGACGTAATCCGGGATACGATCGTCGCCAGGAACTCGTGGTTTCCTCGTGAAATTTTTGGATCTAGATGCGCTGGCCCCGCCAGGCAGGACCAATTTAGACATACCATCGGAATCGATTCGAGTGTAAAAGTCGAATGGAGAATGGTGGAAACGTGTGCTCGCACCTGCGCACCCGTCTCAACAAATTGGTGAAATAAATCCAAAGACATGGTGCGATTCCTCCTGCTCTTCAGGTTCCGGGCTGACAGTCCAGTCTGCGGAGTTATCCACCGATTGCGGATGGGAGAATTCAGATTGGGACTTTTTTTTTAATCGTGAAATATAGAGGAAAAATATTGAATCCAACGCTCTTGGAAAGAAATTGGATCTCATTTCACATTTTAAGGAATTTTCATTGAGAGGATGAGATTTACCAAAAAAAAAAACGAAAACTTGAGAATTTAGGGAGGTTTCAATATTTTTACAAAGAATTATTCGATTTATTAGCATTTTATGGGAGATGATAACTCGGGATTTAAAAAAATGGAGTTCGCGAAGTTTCTTTTTGTTTCCATTGCGGCAAAAAAATCTTCCGGTATGAAGTAAACCGCAGATTGATTGAAGTAAGTGCAAAGCCTGATGGAAATAATCTTGAGTTGCAATCATGTTCGATAGGAGAAGAAAAGGAAGATATGGAGCTTATCAGGTGGCTGTGACTATCCTAGAGGCCAGACACCTGGTGCAGAATGCAAATCCCGTGGTGGTCGTCAAGGTTGGCAACCAGAAGAAAAAAACTGTCGTCCGGGAGAGAACCGATTGCCCATACTTCGATCATGTAAAGTTGAATAATTCATCCAGAATTTAATTGCATGCCTGAACGCTCACCATTTACGTATTCCCCGCAGTACTTCGTATTCGATTTCACTTGTGAATTTGAAGTTCTCCTCAGTACCAGAATATCGATATCGGTGTACCTCAGGAATTCTCTGCGACAGCTGAAGTTCCACGGGGGCATTTTCTTTGAAGTGGCGACAGTCTGGGATCAACCAGGTAATCACCTGCGATTCGCGAGAGATTCGCGAGTGATTGCAGATTGAGAAGTGTTAGGACATCTGCTGGGGGGAATTTCGACTCCTGGTGTTCAGGTTTGAGGTGCAGGTTACCAGGATGCGGTGTCTGTTGCCTGCTGTCGACCGAAATAACGGAATTGACTGTCGGTAAAACCGCTGTATTAAATATGTCGGTTGGCAACTAGCCCAGGGTTCAAATCGAAGAGGGGATTGAGTAGAGGAGGGGATTGATTGAGTAGAGGCTCCGTATTGGGGGCTTGAGTGTCCCCACCAGACTACCTCACCCCAGGAGAGAGGGAGGGCGCCACACACAATGCGTGTCAGTCGACTCGGTAACTGCCTCAGTAGCAGTCCCGCTGTCAGAGGGACCACTTGACGGGGTGTTATTTTTTGCATTACGAACTTGATTATTTTTTTTTATTAGAACCTCTTTGGAATACCTCCTCGATTTTCATGTTCCCCCGATACATTTTTGAAAATTTCGAATTTTTCAATTGCAGTGAATACCTCCTCAATCGTCATGCTCTCCTGATATTTTTTCAAAAATTTTGAATTTTCAAATTTGGGTGAATGCCTCCTCCGTTTTCATGCTTCCCTGATACTTTTTCAAAAATTTTGAATTTTCAAATTTTCGTGAATACCTCCTCGATTTTCATGCTCGCCTGATACATTTTTGAAAATTTCGAATTTTTCAATTGCAGTGAATACTTCCTCGATTTTAATGCTTCCCTGATACATTTTTGAAAATTTCGAATTTTTCAATTTCAATGAATACCTCCTCGATTTTCATGCTCCCTTAATACATTTTTGAAAATTTCGAATTTTTCAATTTCCATGAATACCTCCGGAATTTTCATGCTCTCCTGGTACTTTTTCAAAAATTTTGAATTTTTAAATTTCAGTGAATACCTCCTCGATTTTCATGCTCCCCTGATACATTTCCAAAAATTTTTAATTTTCAAATTTCCGTGAATACCTCCTCGATGTTCATGCTCCCCCGATACATTTTTGCAAATTTCGAATTTTTCAATTTCAATGAATTCCTCCTCGATTTACATGCTCTCCTGATACTTAAATTATGATTTTAAAGTTTAAGTTACGTATCAGGTCACGAATATTCCAACAAATGGGCGATGTTAACCAACCCGAAGGACTCGACAGGACAAGCAAAGGGCTACGTAAAATGTAATATCTCGGTTAATGCAAAAGGGGAAAGACTGCGAGCTCATCCGGAACCTAACGACGAGGATGACATCGAGGGGTAAGAAAAAAGTCATTCGGCCTAATTTCAGTTAATTAATTTCTTCCACAGTGACCGATGAATTTCCCCAGTCGTTTATTTAACAATAAAAAGAAATCAATTCACGCGCATATATTCGGGAGATTTGATTATTTTCATTTGATCTCCTTAAAACAGAACGGGATTTAAATGATATCTTTATTTATAGGAATCTTCTCCTCCCAATCGGCAATTTTTTATCGTCCAGGCAAAAAGCTCGTTATGTCCTGACGGTATACAGGGCAGATGGTCTGCCAAGTAGAGAATCAACGTTTTGCATTGGGAATTCAAAAAAACTGGTGAATCCATACGTTCAAATATCATTTGCCGGCATGAAGGTAAATTCAGCGTGAATGTACAGATGAAAAAGTCATTAGTAATACGTCTTTTTTTCAGCCACATATTCGCTCGATACCACAGTGATTTATAACGTTGTTGTGTTTTTTTTAAAAAACTCAACTATAAATATCTGTCGACACGTATTTCCTGTAATGATCGATAGCACGCTCTGTCGGTCAGAAATACATTATTCCTCGTTTTGATGTGTGCCATATGCACATTTTGTTCGATATGACTCGTCAACCGTGTCATACAGATCGATTTACACTCATTCTAGTCGATACTCGACTTGATTTTTCATCCCTTTATCGAGAGCTATTGAGTAATCTCCAAATTCATGCCCTCAATTTCACTTTAAACTGCCGCCCAATAGCGTGAATTTTACGATGGAATTTTTACGATAGTCCATGCCATTTTACAAATCTTTCTTATCGAGGGGGAGACTGGCTTTTACAAGTGCACGTATACTCCACGCTTCAACGAGAGAATCGCATTCAGGGAAATGTTTCCACTGTTATCCCATCGTGTGAGAATTGCCATAAAAGACAAAGTTCACGGCTGCAGCTCTACAACACTTGCCACTCACGTGCTCAACTTCGCTCGGCTATCAAATTCTGGGGAATACGGTGAGTCATTTCGGTATTTTTCTTCACTTTCGGAAAAAAAATTGTCTCATCTCAAAGTGGAAGGAATACAAGAGCTGAGACCGCCGCGAAATTTAGGGAAATTGAAACTGACGTGATGCGGAAAGACGTGAGTGCGAGTGCGGGTTTTTACAATTTTCCGAAACTTCCGGTACTTTTTACGACTACAATAATTTATCCTCGGTATTTCAGTTAAAAACTTTCAGCAGAGACAAATCGGTCCGCGAAATTCACAGCTACAGCCTTAATAAATACTGATTAATCCCTATTTTTTGTTTTATTAATATGTATAGCTAAATATATAATTGAAATGGAATTGAAAATTTTTTTCTAGTCATTTGAAAAATTCATAATTTCGAATGCCCATTTCGCTGCTGCTGGAAAATATGAAATTCTCTTGGATTTCAATTTATTTTCGGCAGCGTGTGGATTATAAGCAGCTTTCACGAAACCTGCACCTATTCCACCGACAGTAATCTCGTTTCCAGGATTTCTACCAACATACGGTCCCTCATTCATCCACCTATACAGCGATCCAGGGTGCAGAGACGATTGCAGTTGCAGCGGCAAGTGCCAAACCGTACGACCGATTTATCGAGGAAGAGTGCTTCTTTCCCTCAAGACGGAAATTGATGATCCAGAAATATCAGGGATCACTGGAGTTCATGTTGAGCCAGCTCCACCGATTATGGAGGCAAGACATCGATATCCACCAAAAATCGACGAATTATCGATAACGAAAAATCAATTTCCCGCTTCAATCAATTTTCCCCATGAGTTACATTTTTTTTTCAGCAGCTCCCTGGACTTTATTGCATACCTTGGGGACCGGGTTGTGCCAGATACTCCCCCAAGGCTTTTTGTAATGAATAATACGGTGGACTGAGGAGGAACTAAAATTGAAATCGATGCTATATATTTTATCGGAGATATCGCGACGCGTGGATAATCCCGTATTGGCAAAATTCATCAATTATTTCCAGGCAATGTTATCCTTGATTGAGGAAATAATATACCCGGAGTTCGAGCTTGACAGAATGATCATTTTCGAACCTTTTATTGAATTCTCTATTGAATAATCATTATTTGAGGGAATTGTCAATCGAGGATTAAGAGTGAACGACGGCTCCCAAATTTGCTATTGAATTTTTCATGAAACTCGGAAGTTTATGGATTAAATCCTGGGTGTTGCTGTCATAAATCGAATTCTCCGGGAAAGGAGAATTATCCAGTACCTGGAATTTCGACGGGTTCCTCGAGACGTCCCGAGGCGAAATCAAGTCCTTACGAATCACCCGTCAAACTACAGAAATACCCCATCAATTTCTACGGTATATTTCCCTCTCTATGCCCGAGTGTATAATTACATTAAGGTAATAGGCCCCTATCTTAAGGAGGAATAATGCCACTGGTACAAAGGGTCACGCGATTCTAAATAAACCTCGGACACTGCGCCCCATAGTGGGGTAGTCTTCGGAAAAGAGCTACGTTCCTAGGAATAATAATCACCATGTTTATTCAAACTCCCACCCATTCGTCAGGAATCCCAAAACGCTGGAGATAATGCCGACAATTAATCACAGCTTGTCCCATTTATTCAAATTCGATACTTTCAACATTGCAGAAGACCCTCTGGGCTGTCGAGGAGTACCTCCTGGTGGGTGTGATTTACGACGTCTGCATGATTGATCGCTGCAGATTCCTGATGAAGTCAGTGAGTTTTGAAATTAATTTTGGCAATGCCGGGAGTCGCACATTTGCCCACAACATCGTCAATACCGATGGACTGGCGGGTGAGTCAATATTTCCTTGATCCTCAAAAATAATTGAATCAACTAGCAAAAAACGTCTGATTCACGTCGATTTTTCTACTTGATTTGGTCTGAGCTTGATTTAATTGAAATAATTTCTTCAATTTTTTTTAAACGGTGGAATCCAATTCTATCGAATTAAATGAACTCGAAAATCGCGTAGAAGGCGTATTTTTTTTTTCTGGGCAAATCCTTTAGCGGTGCGAACGGAATTAATTACGCGGGGGACTTTCGTCGATAGGTAACATTATAGTTATACATACGGCCAGGGTACATCCTGTGCAGTGGTAAGTAGATGCGGGATGTAATCTCAGAGCAAGACCCAGCGCAATGAGCTTGGGATTTGGAGAAGAGTATTGAGCTTATGCGAGTGAAACTTAGAATAAAAGCACTCAAAAGCGAGATTCCAGGGTTCCCACAGGACTGAATTCACAGCCAGGCTTTCTGCCAACGGTTTCTCAACGCTGAAAATTCTATTCATAATCTCTCCTATGATCTCTGGTGTTTCTTTTTTTTTTTTAATGCAAACCGCACCCCGGACTTTTATCTCGCAGCGGTCCACATCTCTATAAACTTTATTCCCTACCCTGGGGAATTTATCTGACGGCCTGTAACGTTAAATAACCATTCCTGTATTCCAGACGATGTGATACTCGAACAGCGAGTGGATTTTGTGAGCCACACTGAATCAAGATTAACGGCCACGACAGATGGCAAGTTTAATTACCTACCACTCGGATCGAGTAAGCCGTGTATGTACGTAAAATCCTGGTGGCCAAACTTGGAGTGGAGGGTATCAAACACTAACAGTCTCGATTTTATTGTTCAATTCTTGGTAATTATTGTGTAACTTTTTTTCTCAAGAATTTATCGATAAGTTTACGCGCTGCAGTAAAAATTACAATTTTCTTCAAGAAAAACCGTAATTTTTAAACTTCAATCTATTAAATACTCCGTAAATTTCTCCCGTATTCGTTTGCTATGAAAAAAATTCGGTGGTAGCTCCATACAGTCGGATTCCCCGAATTCGCTCCCCCTGCACCCGCAATGGAGTGATTAAGTGAATGAATGAATTGATAAGGAAATCTTTATCACAACAAGTGCACAAAAGCAACAGCACTTGGATACCCGGAAACTGTTCTTTCGTCGAAAGTACTCCAAAAAGCTCTGAAAGAGAGTAATTGAAACAAAAGCTCGGGCTGGAATTTTCCCGCGGATTTGAATAAAACCACGATAAGAGCCTCGAGGATATTCGATTTTTTTTTTCCCTTCATAATTCGTTCTCCTCTGGTGCATGAATTTCGAGCATTGGCTGGGGAGACATTAGGTCGTTGAGAGTAAAGATAGAGAGGACCGAAGCATGAACCAACTCTCGGTGAAATGTCGGAGAAACCATCCCCGGGGATTGGTCGAGCTCGCATTGTCTCGAATTCGAAGAGACACTTCTGAAGAATGAAACACATAATGTCTTAACTATTTCTGGCCATTAAAGACAAGTGATGAGTTTCATTTTTGAATGACTCAGTGGGTTCGACCCAGTTTCACAATTCAAATAACTTGACTCATTATTTCCTTCCCTCTTTCCTACACCGTGTGGTTACCCTAGTCCAGGATGTTTGGAATCGAGATTTTGAGACTAATGAAAGGGAGAATTTCAGGAGAACGAGCTTGCGAAATTAGAGTGCCTCATTGCTGTGGAGAACAGCAGAGCATACGAGGCTTATAATGGTGTAATTGGGTCGTTGAAACGCTACTGCATGCAGTATTTGCACATATTGGATGCTGGGAAGTACGATGATGGCGGTGGCACCACCAAATTGGACAGGCATCGGGTTAATCTGTGTCGCGAGTGTGTCGAGAGTATTCTCAGGATGATTAGAGTCAATGGACAGCTTGCCAACAATAATTACGTGAGAATAGCTGTCATTCACGCTTACAAATATCTCCACAAGCTTCGGGAGATCTCGGAGGACGTAAATTATCATTAATTATTGCTCAACCGATGAAAGTTAAAGGGAAATGGACACTGACGCGAACCACTACTACTGAAAAAATAAATTCATTATCTTTCGAAAACGTCAACTCACTTCAAGTTCATGGCAATGAAAATTGGAGGCCGTTTATATAATTTCATTTCGTTTTTACGTGATTTTTCGTCATTTCCGGTTTAAAAACTGGAACGAAAATGAACATTGGGATAATTACTCATTTTATTGTATCATTTTTTTATACGAATGAAAATTGACGCAATTCAGGGGAAAATATATGAGGGGAGAGTTTGTGGAATTGAACAACTTGTCTGTGAGTAATAAATTTTTTTTTTCCCCACAGATTTTTTCTGTGGGGAAAAGTTTTTCATTACGTGTCAATGCCATGTCCATCTCTCTCTCTCTCTCTCACCCAATCATCGATGAATCGTTTGTAATGCTTACGGGAGGATTTATTGATCAGCCCCAGCATGCATTCCCGGATGTTTTCATCTGGATGATTGCCGGTTCGAGGCGCGTAGCTGTGGCGCGTTTATCCCCTTCTGAGATTATTTATTCCGAGGATGAGACGTCCCGGGGCTCCAAATGCGGACAGAGAATCAATTTGTTCATGAAGAATAGTGGAGATAGCGAGTTGAGTGACTACAGTGCCTGCAAAATGGAAATATTCCTTTGGTTGGGTAATGCCAAGTTTTCTGCTGCTTGCTGGAGCTCAATCCCCTCAGGGTATGATGCTGAATGCATCACGAGTACTGAGGCATTTCCGCGTGTCTTCAAGTACAGTGTTGCATCGGTTAAGTAACAATGATTGGTTGGAAGTTCTGGGGATTGTTTACTCATAAATTCTTGGGGTATTTGCTTTCGATGCAGAGGTTCCAGCTGCGCTCACACATCTTTCAAGGACGATTTGATCCCGGGATGGACTCCACTGGGTTGATGGACCCGTTGATTCGAGTGGTATTTCACGGGTACACTGCTACGACAAGAGTAATCCCTCTTTCTCATTTTTATTTCCATTGAGAATTCACGGGAATTAAATATTCAGAAAAATACTTTTGCGGAAATTACTTGTCAAGTCGCTGAAATTTTGTTCTATTCTGTCGGTGGATTTTTTATTTGTCAATTCTGTGTGAGACGGAAGTTTTATTTATTTTTTTTTAGTGTATCAAGCAGAGCCTTGCACCAGTGTGGGATGAAACTCTGGTGCTTCCACCCATTGAATTGCACGGTTCACCAGAGGATATCAAATGTCGTCCCCCGAAAGTCGTGATGGAGGCGTTTGACTGGGATCTGTGTGTGAGTTTCCGCTTGAAAAAAAATAAATAAAAACCTGAGAAGCGAGGAATCTTCACATTCTTATCATTCCCGCGGGCTGTAAAATTGAACAGGGCTCGAAGGAGTACTGTGGCAGATGCATTGCCACCCCAGTTGTAAAGCTGAAGGATGAAACATACTCACTCCCTGAATTTCCACCGACTCTAACATGGCACGAGTTGAAGACCCAGAGGGATTTTCAGGGGAGTGTTCTCGCTGCCTTTGAACTCATCGAGGTGAGATTCTACCTTCGAGGGCAACGGTAATATCACGAATGTGGGTTAGAACCGCTTCAACATAATTGCGTACTGACATGTCTTTTTTTTACTCCACATGAAAATTCCTATTATTTTTAACTCTCCCTCTGCCGCCATTTTTCCATAAATATTTAAATTGATCAACAAAAAAAATTGCCCCAGTGCAGATAAACTGTTCCTTGTAATTATTATTCTATGGAGTGAAAATCACTAGGTTCAAGGGATTTTCCTTCAAAAAATATCAAATCTTTTTGTTCAATAAATACTTCTGTAGACTGGAGATGATGAGTTGGTGGATGTGCCGTTGAATGCGTCCGAGGAGGAGAGGATTTACAATTTACCGGACGACGTGAGGCCCTCCATGAGAAGCCACCGGCTGGAGGTGATATTCTGGGGCGTGAGGGACTTCAGGAAGATCAACTGCATCAAGGTTAATAAGCCGAGGATTGTTCTCGAGTGTGGCGGGGTTTTTGTGAAATCCGAGGTCATGGAGAGCGCGAAGAAATTCAGCAACTTCGAGGAGAATCACTTTATGATTGATTTGGTATGCTCGCGGAATTTTCAGTTCAAAGTACATAACCGACAGCCAATGAAAATAGCGAATAATTACTCTTTCGGTGAAAATGATATTTTATGAAACGTCGGCCATAACTACACAGATGATAAAAATTTGTGAAATAATAACTAATATGAATTTTTCATCGACATTCAATTGATTAAATTCAATTACATCCAATGTAGCTATATACTCTTGAATTTCTGTGAGAAGAATAAAAATAATAATTTTTTTGCTCGATTTCTTGAGTGGTCTCGTAACTTATCTCAACTTTTATCTCAATCCACCACAATCTTCCCTCGCTCTGGCGAACAGGACAATTGAGTTTATTATCCCAATGACTTAAACTTGATCCATCCCCAGGACTTACCAGAGTTGGATATATACTACCCTCCAATAACCATCAAAGTATTCGATTCCCGTGGATTCGGATGTTTCAAATACGTCGGTGTACACATAATTCCCACAGCTCATAAATTCCTGAGAAAAATGATTGCCCTCGAGGATTACACCTCGCAGATCTACGGCGAGTACAATTCATCATCGAAGAGGAAGAATGCCACAGTAGTTTGTAAATTCGATCATATCCTGTCAATTCCCGGATGAATCAGTAATAAAACTTTTCAGTTCCCCTGCCAATCGATTACGACACCGAGAGAGACGAAAAGAAAGGTTTGATAAGTTATAAGAGGATTGCCAGGGACAAGAATCACTCGGGAATGATGAAACTCCTGACCAAGCTCAAGCCACTTGTAACCAATCGTAAAAGAAACGACAAAACCGAAGAGGCGAATTATGGAAATGACGAGGACGAGAGCCACGACTGGTGGAGCAAATATTTCGCTTCTCTCGAGGTACTTTTCACGGGAATATCATAAAATATGTATTACGTATATTTCGCTCCCCCGGGGTTGCGACACTCGTTCTATATCTACATCATTATCCACGCGCATAAACATCATCGCTTTCAACGGATATTATCCACCTCCAGGGTAATTTAATCCTTGCACCTTATTTTTACCTCTTGAAGGAGGAAAAGTGCAGGGAATTGGGAATTAAGAAGATCCTGCTGGGCCGCCAACGGCCAATAGCCACGTTCAAGGTATGTAATATTCAAATTATTCAACGAAACGGAATTCAAGATCAAATGCCTGGCCGTTAGCATCATCTTTTCAACGTTATCTCCACGAGGGCAAGATTTTTATAAAAATTTTAATGCCACCCAGTGCTCAGATGCTGTATTTTTGAATGGACAATCCGCGTATTCTTATTCTAACGAAATAAATTTTTTTATTTTCCTAATGAAAAATACTTTCGATCCGCCATATGGCGATAGATATACCCAACGGAGCTGGAGTTGCAGCCGGAATTTCAGGGTTTCCAGGACAGACTGATGACATTCGAATTATCGCGCGGGAAAAGGACCGGAGATCCGGATTACGACGAGAAAAATTACTCGGGAAAATTCAAGGTGTTCTTCACATTTCCCTCTAGCATTTTCCTTATGACTCGTCAACTCCACATCATCCACCTCCTCGGTTTTATCAACTAAAGTCTTCCTCGGTTGGCATCACCATCTGTCTTCACAAGATGCCTACCTCCTCCTCATCTACTCCACCCCGAGGCGTTCAACACTTGGAGCCTAGCCAAACTGCTAGAATATTCAGCTAATTTTAAACATGCCAATTCTGATTGAATTCACGAGCGTTATAAATAAACCGAATCGTGACAGACCGCGCAATATAATTGCTCAATGTTTGATCATTAAATCGAGACCATAAAGTTCAGACATTATATTGTAAACTCACTCGTTACTTACACAAAGCGCAGTAATTCAGGCTGAAGTGACTGTTTTACCGAATTCTCATTGTTTGACTCGTGCCAGCACAACATTGCGTGACATTGCATAATGATACATTAGATTAATCCTATGAATACATTGACCCTAACCATGTCGTTAAATATTCACACCCTTTTTAGGAATTCATATCGGTCATAAAATCATGTCATTTGAAAAATTACTGATCACGAAATCGATTTCCTTATACGGTTGAAAATTATCCGCTGGCTTTTTATTTTGTTAATATTTTGTTAATATTCCTTGAAGTTTCAGTCAGAAAGCGTCAAAATTTTCAATTACATGAATTTTAATTCAACTTCAATTGAAAAACACCAGTAATCCCTCATTGATTTTAAAAATTCGAGAAAATTTGGTTTTTCGCGTTAAATAATAATGGAGTTATCAATAGAATTTCTCTGGCAGGGTCAAATAGCGATATATCCTTGGCCGCATCCGGACAAACTCATCTGCAGAACAATAAGTGGATATGACGCATCTGACGGCCTCTTGGCAGATTATCCATCCCAAGCCCCCCTCAAGCTACTCGTCCGTCTCTACGTCGTAAAAGGTGAGATATTCTCCGACGATCAATTCCGCTTATTAATTCCACCCAACAGATTTGCAAATAACGCCCGACGGATTTCCAACTATAACTGACGGAAGTCAGGCGTCAGTAGAATAACCGCTCGTGGGGAGATTTCGGCATATCCCCCATATCCGCATGCAAACCTTCATCTGAGTAATTTGATCGTTGCTATTGAAACCAGTGCTAGTGCACTATCTCCATCAGATTTCGTTACGCTGAAACTGACGGGATTGACACAGCAGATATGACGTATTGTTACCCACTAAGTGCACTAGAGTACCGGTTCTGCATAGCATTAGCCTAGCTTTTCCGAAATTCTCGCTGTTCCATCAGACGTTATCTCAAATTTGTGATTATTAATTAATCTCGACGTGAATTTCTCCAGCCATCAATCTTCACCCCAATGACCCACTCACTGGCAAGTCCGATCCATATCTTCGAATTAGATTGGGGAAGAGGGATATCAATGACAAGAAAAATTACATCCCTAATCAGCTTAATCCGGTGTTTGGCAAGTGAGTTTCCACACGATGATAAATCATACGATAGTATAAAAATTCATCAGAAAACAGACGAACAGAATTTTTATTGCCATGAATTTCGCGAATCAATGGACTTGTCTTGAAGATGAAGATATTTCCGCTGTGTGGACGTCAATAACTCATGTATGATTATCCAATTTCACCCAGATGCTTTGAAATTGATGCGCTATTCCCGAAGGACCACACATTGACGATTCAAGTGTGGGACTACGATGCCACCAGCTCCGACGATCTAATTGGGGAGACCCGGATCGATATTGAAAATCGATATTACAGCGGCCATCGGGCCCATTGTGGAATATCTAGGGTATGGAGCAAATCGGGTTACAATGCCTGGCGTGATCGTGAAAGACCGACACAGATACTTGAGATGCTGTGCCGGAGGAACAATCTACCCTTGCCGGAATTCAAGGATGATGTCAGTATTGGAAAACAGAAATTTACACTCAGTGCGAAACTTAAGGCGCTGGACGAGTCAGGTATCGTGAGAAAATTTTTCCAAAAATTTTCTTCCGTTATTCAGAGAAAATTATCCTTGAAATCTTAATCAATACAGAATTAAATACCAGAAACGACTAAAAAAATCGTAAAAAAAAATAGTGAATGCAAAAATGTGAATGCTGACACGAGAAATTTAATCAGACATTCAACGATTTTTAAGTGTTCAAGTGCAATATCTCGGATTTTTTTTCTGCAACTTTTCAATCACGAAAATTAGTTAGATTTTCGCCAAACAGGTACCGGTGGGGGAATTCCAAAAATATTCAACAGTTCGCTGTTTTATTCGATGTTTTATCTCTCATTTATGGGATCCTTCGACTCTTGGGAGCGCAGAAAATCGTGGAGGATCAATAGTAATCTCATTTCAGAGAGAAACGAGTGTATGGCCCTGAATGTCCTCCATCAGTGGCAGGATTTTCCCGTCTGTGGAATGGCCCTCGTGCCAGAGCACGTAGAACGAAGACCACTCTTCAACGCTAGAAGACCGGGACTCGAACAGGTTGGTTAACCCACTGATACTCCGCGAATCAACACTCCATCAGACTTTAAAAAAAACCCTGTTCTCCCTCATTGCCTCGGCTAATTAACGACCCGGTGATTGATCACTCTGAGGAAATTCCGTTTGTCATCGTAGCCTGAGGAGATTTTTCACAGAAAAGCTCCCTTGCGTTTAGTAGTACTTGGTCTTAATTATTTTTTCCCCTAACATAATTAAGTTTTCACCTATTAAACGATTTCGTGAGATTATTTTTTGTAGCAATCAAGATACTTTTCCTGAGAATGAGAAATATATTTTTTCTGTCACTGGGCGTTAGTTAATGACTTGATACATGATGATGTAGGGTAAATTGGAACTCTGGGTGGACATGTTTCATGTCGATGACCTTCCACCAAAGCCACCCGTTGATATTACACCCCAATCCCCGGAGGTATACGAATTGCGTGTGATTGTATGGAATACCGAGGATGTACCTCTCGTCGACAATCAATTTTTAACCGGCGAAAAGTGCTCTGACATTTACGTGAAAGGGTGAGTTGTCAGTTATGGTTGTAGAATACATCAACCGGTAATTGTTTTTTTTTCGGGGTAGTTATATTTAGCTAGTCCCAGTGGAAACCAAAGTCGTTTAACCAGTGACCGTAAGTTCAACTCGGCCCGCCAAATACCTCAGCTATATTTAAACCATATGCGAAAATCCTCAGTAATCCACTGAAACCGTTACAGGTGGATCTTGTACGAGGATAACCAGAAAACCGATGTTCATTATAATTCTCTCAATGGCGAAGGCAATTTCAACTGGAGATTTATCTTTCGCTTCACTTATTCACGCCCGGAAAACCTCATGATTGTGAGGAAGAGAAGTTCGGTGTTGGTCCGGGATGCTACCGAGCAAAAACTCCCCTGCAAACTGAGTATACAGGTCTGGGACAGCGATCATCTCTCACGCGATGACTTTTTAGGTGAATATTTCAATTTTCCATCTATCCCTCAATCGTTCCTGCTGCCGAGAATTATTGCTTCACCGTCTCTCATTAAATTAAAAATTCTCACCAATGAAATTTTTCAGAATTTCAGAGTAACAGCAAGCGGTTAAAAATTTCGACTCCTAAACTTCACTTTATTTATTTCACTCAGTAGATATCGAAAATTGGTGGTCCAGTTGAAGAATCTTGGCTTTCAAGATCGATGGGTGGTTTCCATCACTTTTATTCCGCCTCCTTGTACTGTCTCCGACTGAAAGAATAAAAATGTTCCACTGAAAGCGCTCCGTAGGAAACAAGTCGGACACGTTCACTTCTGTCCTTATCGACTTTCTCTCCTCTTTCGCCCATTTCCGCTCTTCTTATCATCCCCGTGATTCTGAAGAGGAAAGTGGAGGTTTCAAGTAGTGTTGTGTGATCCCCGCTGACAAAACAGCTTTCCCAAGTCTCAAGGATCCCCAGAGTCCTGCGCTCCGGAATCCCCTTTCCACTTCTTATCAAACATCAGGGGCTGATGCTGAAGCATCAACTCCCCGAGAATTACACTCCTGAATAAAATATCACCCCCATTCTCTAACGTCTATATTTTCATTATACCCCTCATTTTTCCAACTCCAGAAAATTATCTCTCTAAAAAAAAAAAAAAAATGGGAAAGGTTATTCGATTGAGATAACAATTTTTGCAGCATCCCAAAATCCTTGATTCTTATCAAATTACAGGTGCTTTAACATTGGACCTATCTCGAATGGCTCGTGGGAGTAATAGTTCGAAGAGCTGCAGCTTAAAGGTCACCGATACGAAATCACCAACGGTGAATCTATTTAAAGTTACGAGAATGAGAGCTTGGTGGCCGTTGAGTTGTACGACGTCTGACGGCGATTACATTCAAGCGGTAAGCACATTTTAAGCTCGAGGAATTCTAATAAGACCACCCCCCGCTGGTGCTCATACCGCAGGATAAAATGCAGAACTCGAAAGGGGATGAAAGAATGGAAATAACCGCGGTCATTATCCCTGCTGCATTTCCACGAGTTCAACTTATAAAGAGCAGATTTATCGTTCCTTTTTTGTCCCCCGTCAATATTCTTATTATTAGTCTATTTTAGTCTTCCTCGTCCTCCCTAGGGATCCAGCAAATGCATTTTTTTGAATATTTTCTATCTAGCTTTTTGTGAAATAGATAAGAGGAAAAAAGATTTTATATGTCAAGTGATTTTATTCGGTTATTAATTTTCTTATCGTGCCACATCGACACTTGGCGTTTTTACACCGTCAAAGGAGCAGACAACGAATTTCGGGGGATGAATGTTGAATATGGGGAATAGCAGAAACCACAGCTTCAGCTAATGTCCTCAGGGCAAAGATAATTCACGGGGAAACAACGAATAATTACGGGGAATGGCTGGAGGCATGTTGTCACTGGGTAAATTCAAACCGCACTAATTAGGTAACCACTGGCAATTAATATCATTGAGGTACAGGATCTATTTGAGGGGTTGGAAGATGATCGTGAGGGGGTGGGGTGGAATTATGCTCTCGAGATTATTCAATGACAATGGGAGCCAATCATATCGTCGACAATACTGAGTTCGAAGTGTTATCTGTACGATTGGGGAGTATATCAATCGAGAGGTAGATTGAATGTGGATATACCGCTTCTGTTTACTCGAACATGTGCCCTCAGCATTGTTGGGTCTCAATGGACATGACCCAAGCCCATTCGCAACGGATGATGTAGTTTCAATTGATTGGTTGAGTCGTGACCCGAGAGGAATAAAACTTGGAGGATTCATCTTCACCCTGGATACAGCAATTGAGGTGATCAAAGTTGAAATTACGTGCGTCGGAGGAGAATTTCTATCCACTGGTGTTCGTGACTTGTCTGAAACAGGGTGCGGTGGAATCCGGGGGATTTCCTCGTTACTCGTAATCCACCAGTAATGTTGATTACCGAGATCAGGTCTACTGGGCTGAAACCGACGTCAGTGGCTACCCTGTGCTTTTCCACATTCCATTCGACCCTCTGCACCCTCGGATCTACGGCTGACCGGTTGTTTCTCAGTTGATGGCGAACTGGATTAGTTAGGCGAGAGGAAACCTCCAAGTGCCAGCTGCAGGACCAATCAATTCTCGAAAATTTTCGACCATTGATTCGGTACACTCAGAGGAATCCTTCAGATCGAAATAAATTTATTGCGTAATTTTTATTTTATTTTTTTTTTCATGTTGGAAAAATTGCAGCAACCATTTGGGATATCACACGTGATTTCTGATAAATTTGAACCGAATTGATGGGCTGAAAAAAATTCGGCGCCATTTTGCAGTCGATTAATTTTTTTACGGATAAACCCAGGGAATATTTATTAATTCATACTGATATTATATTCATATTAAATTGTTAAAGTTTAAGTAGTTTAAAGAAGTTTCAAGGGAAATGGGAAAAATTGGGATGAACATTTTAAGTGGTGTGAAACTTTGGGCTCTATTTATAGTGGAGCATCCGAGGGCCGCGGGAGGTCCATTCGATTCTCAAGGGTTCTACATCTTGAAAAAATAATTTCTCATTCATGCCGGAGCTCGAAAAATCCTCTTTAATAACCCATTGCCCAAAGCGCGAGATATTGTCCTGTCCTTCTGGTCTTTTATCACGCGACATGATTTGTTCCAGGGAAAAGTGGAAATGGAAATGACTGTAGTTCCAGCAACGGAGGCTGACAAGAATCCAGTGGGTAGAGGAAGAGAACCACCGGATCCACTTCCGCCACCAGAGTAAGTAGAACTTGCACGCAACTACCCCTCATTTTCCAACTCTCACCCCATAATCCCAACATTTTTCCCAACTCCTGGGGTAAACGCCACCCCAAGATCACCCTCTGAAACATCTCATCATCTCTATTCTCCCCAAATTGCATGTTTCCACAAATAATGTCGCACGGATATTAAATTCATTGGGGAGTAAGTCACGTAGTTTCCCCGAATGTCTTGAGAACCATGAAATTCGTCTATTCTATTACGACTCCATTGGTGGTAACAATAAAACTAGAAACAGAACTTCTGAAGCGACGATTGTTATCGAAGGTAATGAGCTTGCGTGTCTGACAACTGTACTTCGACGAGGCATGTAGCTTGGGAAAAGCAGGTGTTTTAGACAGAAACCGGGAATACCTTGGCGATTGCTGGGAAAATTGACATACGTGAAAACCTAAAATACTTCACTTTTTAGTGGCTCTAAAATCGATTAATCTTCAATTTCAAGAAATAATGATTCTCCATTTATTCTAATGGGATTTTAAATAGAATAAGGGAAGAAAAGATTACGTATTAAAATATCACCTGCACATATGCATAGTTTGCTCGAATTGCTCGAATGAATAAAAAACTTATATTAAGAGAGTTTCCAGGATTACGTGATTTTTTCTGGTAATCCGAAATATTTATTTACTGTAATTCTAGCTGGTGCGACAATCCACGTTTTGTCAGCTGTGTCACTTCTAGGATCACTTCTACACCTCCGCACACACGAGGCGAAAATAAAAAAAATGATAATGCCTTTAGCCCGTGAAAATTGAGTTATAACAATCTTATTTTCTCTGTTGCAGCCGTCCCGACACTTCATTCTCTTGGTTTCGTAATCCCTGGAAAGCTTGTTGTTTCGTTGTCTGTCGGCATTACAGAGGGCGTATGGTCCTCTTCTCCTCCATCTTCTTCATCCTCATGCTATTACTCTGCGCTATTTACGCATTCCCTGGGTATATGGTAAAGAAGTTACTAGCTGTGTAATTTAATCTGAGAAAAGGAATTTTCGTGAATTTGCGGCATCAGTTACTTTGAAAACTTTAAACCATCCCGAGTGGCAATTAAATTTTGCATTCGAATGCTTGAGCTTTAGCTCGGAACATCACGAAGGGTAGATTGCATCTAAAAAGCTTGAGCTTTAATCCAAAGTTATGCGATGGACAGGGACAGCTCTCTAACTGATATCAAGATTCTGTCGTCTATTTGGATGAGTCGCCTGGAGATAAAACTCGTTGACTTTATCGTCTCCACTTCGCACTGTGCACAGAAATTTCTGAAGAGCCGCACAATGGCAACTCAACGAAACTCTACCAATCAAAAATCAACTTGCTGATCATCCCCAAGCAGCACAAAGTTTCAACTTCTTTACTGTCTTCAAGGAGTTATTAAAATTCAAGACAATTTCGATCCTCAATTCTAAGACATTCATTTCCATTTTTCACTAACAAAATATGTTATTCCCAGGCTAACGTCGAAAATTATTATGAGTGAAATAAAAAAAAAATTCTGAACACATCATCTTGAAAATTATTGACTTCCGGTAAAAATATTAAATGGGTATTTAATAAGTTATTGAATCTTCGACAAAAAATTTATTTTCGAGACCCATTGACTGTTTAATACACCTGTCGAATTTCAATTGTCTCACTTTACAATTTCGCTACTGAAATTGAAATTTTTTTTTGTCTCTAACGTAAACTACGAAATGTTCATCGATCCGAGGGGCGACTGCAGACCGTTTGGTGTACAGCTACAACCAAATTGCATAGCCAATGCATTCGGTCTATCGAAGATGCAAATTCAGGGTTCAACCGAAGAATGGGTTGTAGTTATAGCCGATATTGGATCGGTTGTGTATGCGGTAGGTTGCATAGAGGCCTTGATTCGCGTTTTCGCATCTGGTTGAAGTCGTTTGATCATTTCACTTGTGTACGACGAGAGGCACCTGGAAAATTCGGGTGTTTCATTTGCACAGAGGGTTCTTCATGTAAATACCCTGCAGGAGTGGAAAGTGGCTGAAGGTGCGAGGCTGGAAGAAGAGACGGTTCCGGCCCTAAACTCAGGAAATCAATAACTCTCACGTTTTCCACCTGAGGAGGTGCACGATAATTTAAGGTCTGACTATTCATTACTCGCGCTCTACGATGAAAGCCATTAAAAAGCACTTGCTCCAAAGAGCGTTGATACAACGCAATGCCTGCGAGCAACCCTTTTACGGTGGAGACTCAAACTGTTTTTTTTTTTAGAGAAGATACATCGGAGTTCAATGGAGCTGTGGGTACCGCGTGTTTTTATGAGCCAGTCGTTGTTTTTATTGCTACTTCAAACATTAAGGTTTTATATGCACAAAAATTCGTACGTTCCCCACAAATATATCCTGAGTGAATAAATAAAAAATCGATAAACCGAGGCCAGAGCTATTTTTTTTTTTTTGGTTGATGAGTAACCCAGATTTCCATTAGACATGCGGTTAACTTTTTTATTATTATTAATCGATAAAAAAGTGCTATAAATTGTAGAAAATCTTAGTTACGGAGAGAATATTAAAGAAAACTTATTTCCTTGTCATATAATTTTTTATTAAGTTCATAGGAATTTTAATTTACTGCGGAAGATCTGGGATTAAATAAAATATTAGTCGGGGAAATTAATTTGATTCGTATGCATCATTTTTCGGGAGTCGTGGATTTTTCTCTTAAACTTGTTTCCGTTCGTGTAATAACAAATCCTGGATTATTTCGGTTGGTCTAAGGATAGATGGGTGGAGCAGCTGCCGAGTGCAGGGCAGGATTAACAAAGTCAAAAGAAATTAGCAACTTTATTCATTCCAACTTTGCCCACGACTTTGGCGGCTTCTTTATTCAGTGGGAAACAGAGTGGAGACGGTTACTGGACCTAAACGGAATAAGATAAAGGACTCGAGGTAGTAAAGGCCAATGACTCCAGAATTTACTGATTGCTCTTATCGTTCATCATCATTTGCGATTATCCATTGGCTACGGAAATGTGGACAATCGATTATTCTTTTTTTTTTCTGGCTGCAATGGTGGTCGGGTGAACGATCGAGCGGTTGGATACAGAGTTTTGGAATTGTGATTCCATCGTTTGTTGATGTTCCTTGCATGTCCTGCGAGACCTGAATTGCCTGGCACTAGGCCAATCACTGGGGAGCGACAGTTTTGGGGTTGCTATTACCACAGTGTGGAGCTTCGGTTCATTTTTTTCTTTCTCCAACGAGCGATGTGGAACTCCTGCATATGTTTCATCTTTTCACGGGGGAGGCTTCAGCCTGATAAATTGCCCAACTTTCAGTGAATTTTTTTTGTTTCGCCTCGTTGCACTCGCGTGTCCTCCGAGGATATATTTGCTCTTGGCTGAATTCCACGGGGCATTTTTTTCGGGAGAAATTAGAGCATCTGCATATTCAGGGGGCGTAATTTCGATTGAGGCTTGAGGGGGGAGTTGAGGGGTTACAGCTGTCTGTGGAGGTTCAGAGAAAAGGAGTTAGGGGTGGTTTTATAATTGATGTTCATAAAATCATCAACCGCATGGATATCGCGAGCTAATGGTCCTCCATTGTTCGACGGTTGCTGAGGCTTTTTGTGCTGTTCGCAATAAAGCAAAAATGGATGCAGAACAAATAGAATGGAGTGATGAAAAAATGGAAAAAAATACGTTGGCGAGCGTCCAAGCTTTGACGGAGGCCGAGGGGCCTGGCGATAACGAATTCACCTCGGAATAAACGAGCTTCGATTATTTTTGCAAATTTATGATCAGCCCAGTGGCTGATGAATCAACAGCAAATTTGGTGGGCGTCGTTATGAGGGAGTTTTTTATTATTTGATCTTTCGATTGGTAGTAAATGAGTCCGGAAAAATTGAGGTCATCATGAATAATCCTAATTAGTCCGTCATCCGACTATTTCAAAAATACGTGTTATTATTCTTGTTCAGAAAAAAAGTTTCAAGAGTAAAAGAAAAATTCCATTCCAGGATTGTTATCAAAATTATTGCTGTAAAATTCTAGTAAAAAATACACAGCGTTAAAAAATTGAAATATTCTGGTGAGAATGTATTGAATTTTCAATTCAGCAAGGTTGTTCTATAATGAATTATTTTATTATTTCAGATGAAGGAGTATGTCCTATTTTTGGTCTAATCGAGTGAGTTTTTGTCTTAAGAGAAACGATTACGGAATTTTACTTGGAACTAGGCTATTTTTTTTCTCTGCGTCGTTCAGATAGACGATATAATCTGAAAAATCTCCGGAGAATCAATTCTCCAGAAGAGAAAGATTCAGCATGCCCCGTGTCATCGATCTTCTGGGGAGCATGCGACGTTGAGTGGGAATAAGACGAGTGGGTGGAAAAAGAATGAGTCTTGTTCCACGACCGCCAACGAATCGAGTTTCTTCATACCAACGTCACTTTCCTCGAGGCCACGACAATGAGAGAAAGCTTTGAGAGCTTTCCCCTAACTTATGTGGGTACCGTGACCCTTCGGAAGCTTTCATAATAGATGGTGAGTGGTACAAAAAAATTCGAGTCCTTCCGGATACACGTAGTGGGGATTAATCACTCATATTTTATAGGATTGGTAAAGAGAACTATTGAATTCCAGTCATTTCCTGAGGACAGGTATTATACGGAAAGTATAATACCCGGTGGGTTGTACGTGGGGGGAGACATTTCCGGTTACTGCTGGATGAACCAAAGAATGATAAATTCTTTTGGAAGTTACTTTGAGAATGGGAGACCATTCGGCTTTCAATTCTCGGGGATAATTCATCAATCTCGTTAGGATAATATTCCATTTTTTTTTATTGTATTTTTTTAATCACAATTTGAAGAATGTAAATATTTTTGGAAGAAAGCTGTGGAAATTCTACATTTTAGTCTAATTATTCTCAAAAAATTTCATAAATTGGGAAATTTCAGGTTGAAATATCGTGGAGTTTTTTGAAGTAATTAAAAGTATAAAATTGTAGGATTCATTTGGAATGCACTTGTCAATTGGCTATAAAACTTCAATTTTTTCCAGGACTGCGGATACGACCTCATCAACTCCGGAAATCTCAGGGTTGAAAAAATTCTAGAGATTTACCAATCGAGTTAAAAAGCAGATAAGAGATACTGCAAGTTACTCACGTACCACTGGCTGTAATACGTGTACGTGGTGCAATAGCCAGATAAAATAAACCCCGAAAAATCGAGAGGGCAATATCATTCGCTGCCCTGGGGTGGAGGAAAACCAGTGGTAGGATTTTCGAATCAAGCCGAATTCTTATCTCAATCCATTCGCGCGAGGTATCAATTGATCTGATGGTAACACAACTGTAAATGAACACCGACTCCCGTGATTTCTGCGCTGAAATCCGATAGAAAGTTGAAAAATAAATAAAAAATAAACTCACCTGCCATAATTTTCCCCAATTTCCCGTCGCCCTAGTTTTAAACTTTTCACCTGAGGAAAGTACAGACGAGAGAAATTGGGGAAAAATTTGATTTTATATATGAGACGCGTCATAAATGATGTGGGAAAAAAAAATGGGGTAAGGAGAATTAATGGGCGAAAAAAATCGAACGAGAGTTGATGTGTCAGTGGCCTTTGATGTTCGGTGGAATGACCCGTGTCCATTTGAAGGTACCACCCCCTCAACCATTCACGTGGGATTCCTCACCTTGTCTCATCTCCTTCGGCCGTAAATACCCACCACCTGACATTGTAATACTCTCTCTCGGTGGCACTCTCTCGCTTTTTTACTTTGACAAAGTGCCAGGAAACAGTAAACAAAAAGGCATTCCCATTTGCTCGTCGCTCCTCCAAGTGTTCCTACAAATTTTTTTTTCTTCCCTGATGCACCATTTTTCACGTCTTTCTGTATCTCCTGTTTCCACTTGTTCAGCGCTTTATGTCCAGCAATGCGCACTACTCGTCTTTCTGGCGTAAAGTTTCCACATGCAGGCTGGATTATTCAATTTCACGATTTCAGAGATGCCTTTGAGTGTGAAGGTTTGAAACGTTCGCACAAGTGCTTAATTTTATGTTCCAGGTTTTCTCAAAATGTTGGCTTCAAAAGGACTGCACGCTCTCTCGAGTTTTAATTACATTGTTAATTTTTTTAACGGGGAAATTTCACGGAGAACTATTTTTATACGGTTTTCAATGTTGTTTGGATTCGCGAATAAGTTAAGTCGTGTCATGAATAATTTTTATGTGAAAATCGATGCCTACTATATTTTACTTTGTAATTTTGCTGTTTACAAATTCGAAATGCTCTTAAATTTTTTTCCCACCATTTTTTTCAACCCCACAAAATGTAGTCTTCAATTTTCGCGATTAGAAATCAAATTCACCTTAAAATTCAGCAGCGAAAACCGGTAGAAATAACGGTAATGGGTCGATTTAGCAAATGAGTGGCTTTCCGTCTGCAATCTCTGAATCTAGGCGAGATAACACAATTTTTATGAATACTTTTTCGTAGCTCTTAATCTCCTCTGCAAAAACGACGAAAACGAAAATGAAAATTTCGAGCTGTGGTAGATTCATAAATATTTAAAATTGATTTGTCAGGAGATTTTTTATTGTTTTTTCCGCCCCATGAAAAAAAGAAAAATTCAACAGGAGCTTTTGACATCCCCTCAAGTAATCCACCACTTCCAACAGCCCCTGATCGATATTTTCGCTCGAGACTGTTGAACCAGAGGCCCGAATTCTTCCGGTACAAGGCGCGACGTGGTATATATCCGAGAAGACTTGGTGTTTGGCACACGAAAAAGCACACGGGGGCTTTATTCCTGAGTGAGAGTGAGTAACGTACATTTGTCGGTGTGAATTCAAGGGAGTAGTGCAACAGCAGGGAGTTACGCGCCAGCGCAACAAAGTTCACTGACCCTTTGACAGTGAGTCGCCAGTGTGAACTACAATTTAGCGATGCACCCGAACAACCCCGTCATTTTCCATTACCTCCACTTCATCATCATCAAGATCATTCATGAATTTTCCCATTAAAATCTCTCTCAACCTACGACCAAAGTGCCCACACTCCATAAATAATAATGACCCTAGACAATTTAATTATGGAAAATGATCATTAAAATGCTGACTAGTCCCTCAACCCTTCAATCTCAATAATCGCCACGCCAGAATAATCGACAAATAGAGCGGAAAAAGATACGGAATTTTATCTTATACGAGGACCCGAGGGAATTTCAAATTTGTCTGAAAATTATACGATACGTTGATTTTTATTTAATTATCAATATTCATTCCAGCACATCAGAATATCATAATTAATTTTGAATATCAATCATCGATGTTAATGGGAAACGATTGACCTGAACATTCCAAATTTATGGATGTTCACCCTTTCCAGAAATTTTCCCAATAAAATCACGTGTTCATTTATGGATTTATGAATGACCCACCGAATATATTCTATAGAATCCCAACATCCCGAAGAGGAGGTCAAGAGGAGTTCCTCAAAATCGGTGATACTCCGTACTAAATCAATCCGAGACCAGTGTAATCTCAATCTCAAACCCCAAAAAAAAAATGCAAAATATATCTCTGTCAAGTGACGTTAAAAAATGTGAACGAGGGATGGTAGAAAGGCTGATCCGTGCTCATAACGGGTAATCCATTTTGTCGACGGTATATTTTTGAATTAACGTCGTCATGACAACGAGGATGAGTACACTAACGTAGACTATACCAAAAGTGTCTCGCGTTCTACAGTGGTCGTTAGAAGCGCACGATTAGACTCCCCCCTCGGTACACATGGGCGTACATCCTATATCGAGCACACATAACACACGTTCTACCGACACGTGCATACACCGGCCAGTGGATTTTATCAATGTGTGTTACCCCGTATCACCCTCTCCGTCGTTCACCCACGTTCCACGTTAATTTGGGCCGCCCGACGGAGGTGAACGAGTCGCGCCGAAGCAGTAGGTTCTGCGTCGCGACGGCAACCACGTTTCTACCCTCAGTGTGCGGGTGTGTTGCACTGCGAACGCCTTCTCAAGACGTCGACCCGACGTCACTCATCTTGCGATACCGCACGCATTTTTATCACGGCTCCTTATCACGCGTCCTATCATTACGTCGGGCTGTGTCGAAAAATTTACCACCCCTCGCGGCTTTTATCGATTTTTCGCGAATTCAATTGCCTGACGAGTTGCGTTCGTTTGCTGCGTTATCTGTTGCGTTTGTTTTGGAAAAGTTCGGGCTTTTTTTTTTTGTCCCTCTTGTGATGGGGATTTCGGACCGCTGGAGAACTTTCATGTGGTGGTAATTCAGTGGTGGTTTTTCCGAGCAATGTGGAGAGGACTATCTAGCCATGTACACTGACGAGGTAATTTGTTTTTATTTTTTACTTTTTTTTTGGGGAGGGGTCTTTTGGCCATCCGGCTGGGGGTCGCGTTTTATCACCGGGCTTTGTCCACGTGGCGTCGCGATGCCGGTTCTACGGTGAGTTGTTGACGAGGACGGGCTCGTCGTCGGGTTAGCGATTATTCCGTGAATATTTGAACGGCTATGCGCTGGTCGGTACATAAACAGATGCTCTGTGATTATTCTATCGGGGTTATGACGTTTCTAGTGGATTCACGGAATTACCGCCCCGGGATATTCTGATGGTTTATATTACTTTGGAAATTCGGGGTGCACTCGCAATCACAATTGTCTGTGGTGCCAGATTTTAATTAGTAGCCGAGTGATTAAAATTTCTATTTTATTACTTTTTATTCTTTTTGTATACTCGCATTTTATATACATATCGCTCAATGACTATTTTTTGTAGTCCATTTTATTTTTTATTAAATTAGATTTAAAATATTGAGAGGTGAAGGTATTCCGTTTATCATGATAGAAATTTTATTCCACCAGTTCGCATTTATTATTTAGTAACGAAGTGGGCAAAACGCATGCGCAAAGATGCGCTTATATGACACAGAATCTTTCAAATATTTTCTCTCTTCGCATGGATACACCAAATTTTTTTCTGACCCGATTCGATTCAATAGTTTTTCACATTACCTTCTGTTTTTCATTTCTATTTTTAGACTCTTTTTGTAGGCGAATTATAATGAACGTGTCATTATGCCAAGAATATTGTGACTTTTTTTTCAACATCAAAGAAATTTCTTTCGCAGTTTTCACCGTCAGAGAAATTTTTTTCATTTGCGCATTTGCCAGTCAGAAATATCATAGAATTTTCAAAAGACCGAGATTTCCGGAAAATTTCCCTGCATTTTCATTCCTTTTCATCGTTTTAATGATCGTATGGGTCGGAGAATTAGAATTCCATTGAATATTCAAGACATCAACGGCTTTTTCAGTAACAAAATGGAGATAAATTTAATGTAAATATTGTTGGTGAAAATGTCAAGTTGTTTAGGTTGAAATTTTAAGAGTGATTTTCTCAGAAGATATTCCTGTCAACCCTTCTCCCCTTTCGGTTGCAATTTTCATTGTCTCTGAGCGTTTGCGATCCCACATGGAGTTTAGGATCTCCTTTGGTCGCTATTCTCGGACGCTTGGGAGTATTGAATTTTCTCGTAATAAGGCCGAGCATGGATGAGTGAATTTAATGAGTTTGTGGCCTATTGAATGCTAGATGCACCGGTCAACATGCAACTGTTGTCCCGACCTGGGTTTCCTTTCACAGAAAGTTCAACTCCTCCTGACTTGCCTCCTTCAGTCAGCCGGGAATAAAGGTTTAATGAATTAATTAAAAGCGGGAAATGGGGCCACTCGAGGCTCAGGCGGGATAAAAATATAGAGAATGGTTATTGTGCTATTCGATTTCACTTTGCTCTTGGCTTTTCAAGGGGTTTGTACATCTTTTATGGCAGCCAGTGCAAGTGTTACCATGGAAACGGAGTTTTCGATGTCTGGGGCTCTTTTTCAGGCGCCAATCAGATTAATTGATGCATTTCCAATTATCAATCCGTGAAGCACAATTCTTTACAAAAATTTCACACATAAATTCCCAAAACTTTTAATCAACGCACAAGAATTTTTCAGGTTCAATTCGAGAAGAAATTTTATAAATTGCGTATTGCGATGATTTCGATATTGTTTTTTTTTTTTTTTGCAAGAATTACTCTCATAATTTGTAGAAAAAAAATTTGAAGAGTAAAAACAGTTAGGGCTTGACGTACTCGTAGTAATGTGTTTCTCTAATTAGCAGTTTGTTGATCTAAAAGTAACTGTGAATGCCAGTAAAACGGAAGGACCGTGCAATTTGGCTGATATTATGACTTATACGATGTATTCTTTGTTGTCACGTACCAAACGTGTCGTTTTACGATGGTCCATAAAGCCTAAGAATAGTGTATGCGTGATAAAAGACTATTTTGATATGACTGAGTAAAATGCCGCGCACGTTTCAGTAGAAATGAGAGAGCCCCTGGGCATGGTCAGACTATGTTTGTATTGAAGTACTCCATTCCATCCCAGGGAGTGATTCTGAGCGACTGTTTGGCTTTTGACGAAAGTTGTAGGTCAAGATTGAGGAACAACGGGGAGAAGAAGAACAGAATAGGTGACACGGAAACTGGAGCGTGACAATGACAAATTCGTTGGTATTCTTGGCGTGAAAAAAAAAAAAAAGGGGGGAAAACCCCAAGGGGTGGAAGTAAAAGGGGTGGGGAAAAAAAAAAGGGGAAAAAAAAAAGAGCGGATGACACTCGCGTACGCATGACAACCGAGTGTCAACACAAACATTTATTCCCATTCTTTTGAGATAAATTTTCTGAAGACCGAACCCTCTGTGTTTTATACTCCTTGCAGTTCAGTTGGGGATATAATGTGCGGGAAATACCGTGGAAAACTCAGCATGTGCTCGTGGAAATAAAACAGGGAGAATCCGGTATTTACGCCGACTAACGGGGGAGGAACGCATGATTTTTTCATTTTTTTACCAGGAGATCATCTTGGGGGAGAATAAAGTTTTTATCACAGGGGAGGAAGTTCCGGTGAATTATAGATCCCTGAAAAAGTTTCGGAATTATTACGTGACAAGTCGTGTAATGAGAAGCCAAAATCCTTGTGGTCATGATTTGAATTGAGAAACATGTTGTTATAAATTAATATTTATAAAAAATAGATGGTAAATAGGCGGGGAATTGGAATTTCATGGGTTACTCTCGTCTAGGATATATCAATGAAAACATGATAGAAAAGATAAAATTGATTGGCTTCCCAATTTTTTATTTAATAAAGCATATGGCACACAGTGAACCAAAAATGGTCGTTGATTCTCGTTTTATTACATTTTTTAGCTATTTTTTATTCATCCGTCTATTCTTTCATGTCAAAAAATAATGGGTGATTTTTTAGGATCAGGGGATTCACAGTTTTTATCGAAAAGGGGGATGATAAAAAAAATCATATTTTGCGAGAAACTTTATTCAATGGTGCCCGATAATCCGCCATATCTCGATAAATAAAATCGATGTTTTTTTTTCAACAATCCGATTGTTTTATTTACCTTTTCGCTAGGTATGGAAATTCAAATGCTCTCGGTCCATATTTTCTCCGAAAAAAAAATACTTTGGGTGAAATTTGATAGAGTTGTTATTTGTTATTTATTTATTGATGAAAGGGAATATCGGCAGGATTTTTTTTTTAATGTCAGCGCATTTTACTGTATGAGAATTAATATTCTTCAGCACTTAAATCTGTGTACTGCAGATTGCAATATAAATTCGCGGAAGCATGAGCCCACAAAGACTTGATTTATGATGATAAGTTTCATGCCCGGATTCTCCGATGGGACTTTAGGGAAGGGCCCTCTTCCCTTTCACCGCGGATTTTCCTACTAATTACTCAGACTCCATACATTTCTTTCTCGGACTGTAAAAATTTCATTAATTATAATTTAGCTCTGACTATTTGCGTTCTCATAAAAAAATCGCTGCGAAAATTTTTAATTTCTCTAAATTCTCCAAAAATTAATTAAAACAAGAGTTCATTACTCTTCGGAAGGAATGATAGGTGATCGCCTGAATAATTTACACACAAATAGCACGTGGGGGCGACCATCGATTGATTAGAAACTTGAAATTAATTGAAAAAAAAAATCGAGTAGTTTCTCCGGGGAAGTTGATGCCGCAAAAAAAGTGTGGGGGATCTTGTGTATTTAAAATGTTTCATATCCCATGAAAAATCCAGGATAATTCCGAGTCTTTTCAACAAGTTTCAATGCCGAAGTGGAGGAGCATAAATTTACATGGCGATGGACGGCTTTTGGAGTTAGGACTCCATTCCGGCGCGGTATAAAGTGTAAAAAAAATCGAGTTTGATGAATTGGGGTGAGGATGAGGTGGGAATATACGGCGATTCTCGTGGTTGAAAGGCAGCATAACAAAGTTGAGGGCTGAGATGCTGATTGGGGAAACCATTTAAAACTTCTCGGGAGGGGCTTCGGGCTTCGAACTCCGCTCTTCCACTATAGTTTGTGGGAAAAATTTCCTGACCTTTTCAACGCTCGCTATAGAACTATTGCAATTCATTTTTTTTTGCTGTGGAAAGAATGGAATGTCCCCGGAATTACTGGAATTCCTGATGGCTGGAATAAAGGGTGAACGTACATTTAATTTGATTTTTTCAATTTATTTAAAATTTCATTTTTTTTAGGGGGATAAGTGAATTTTTTTACACTGAAGGCACGATGTTTATTTATGAATAAAATAAGGTGAATAGTTGAACGGTTCGATAATAATACGATCTCGATAAAAATTCAGGTTTATTCAAATTGATCTCAGTAATTTGTTTTTATTTGGATTCGTTGCTCAATTTAATCGTTTTTAAAATAAATTATCAGTGGATTATGCAGAGGAATTTGATGAAAAAATTTGAGTGACAGCTAGAAGAATCGCAGTGAATTGAACATTTAACATTTGACTTTTCTATCAAATTTTGGATTTTCGGTGAGAAAATTCTATGGAGTTTTAATGGAACTGTCAAAAATTTTCAACAGCCCCACAATTCATGTCGATTATTTCTCGAGTCAAACTAAATCTCTCCTATCAATAATCGAACCACGACCGCAGTCGATGGCAATGACACACTGCGTGAGCAAAGGCACAAAGGCAAAACCTGAAATCAGTCATTCACAATTCTGTCCCTATCCACCCAAGTCCTCAAGTATATCGATATATCGAGTGTATCGACCGAACACCATCAATTGCCGCTATTGACACTGATGTGCGTGTTGCACTCGAGAGCAACATTTTTTTTACCAAAACACTGTTTAATGTCCCAGGAAGGAAATTTTACTGAATTTTCCGGGAAAATGTCATTAATTCTATTTAAGGAGAAAAGTCTAGTCTTTTAACATTAATAAAA